GGGGGGTGTACTCGAATGGATGGGTAGAAGAGGTTTGCGGGGGCACCGATCACACTGAAGACACGACCCACCTGCCAATCAATGCACACGCAGAGAGGGGGACATCCACAGAGACAGACATGCACATGGACGCATGCGTGATCGAAGGCCCGCATGCATGTATGGCTGTCAGCCACACACCTCTGATTGATAAGGCTTGCCGCCAGAGGGATTGACAGACCTGCAGCCAGCCAATCGACCCAGCCATTGATTCATGAATCAGCCGAGTGGATCGTATACATGCCCACCAGCAGACGTGGAATTCCCCCTGCTGCGCTAGCTTGACGCCCTCAAACGCCAGAAACGTGCCCCCACCTAGACATTGGTACACACACACGCAAAGACGTACGTATGTGTGTGTACGGCCTTGTGTGCACACACCGACCGATTGCTCGTGTGGGGGTCTGGACGATTGCCGGGTCGTTGCGTGTGGGCATGGCGGAGCAGGGGGTGGAGGCGTTGACGATGACCACACCAGAGGACGGCTGCAAGCCCCAGCCCCCGATTGTCAGTGTGAACTCCTGCACACACACGCACACACACACAGAGCGAGAGACATGTGTGTATGTTTACATGGCCTCGCCTGTCCGATAATGGCGCTGAATCGGTGAGTGTCCTCCGGCCCGCTCACAATCAGACTCCCCACCTGTGCGCACACCCACACAGACGTATCACCTGCAAGTGTGTGTGTGTGTGTGTGTGTGTGTACCGTCTGTGTGAAGTGTTCTGGCTGATCGCAGCTCAAATAGCCGGCACACATGCAGATGCGGAAGACGCCCGCACGTGTGGCCACCCCCAGGTTGAACGCCACTCGTGTGCGGGGCGGCGTGAGTGATGATGGGTCGGCTCTTGCCGGGTTGGTGGCGATTTCAGACACAGAAGGGGCTGCCGGATCGCCACAACCTGCTCCCACGATTGTGATTGTGCAGACACAGAGGGAGGGAGGCACATTCGTGTGCATACACACACACATACAGATGGATGCGCTGGCAGGCACCTGCAAGTGTGTCGATGACGCGAACGGCGTCACTGGCAGTGAGCTCCACCCCAGTCGCAGTGAGAGTGCAGTTGTAGCTATCGCGCACACACTCCTGCGCCGCCATCTCTACCCACACAGACACAGACACATATATATGGTGTGCATGAACAGAATGGCGGGCGATGCGTTCGTTGTATTTGTACCGTCGACGCCCACAATGCGCAGAGCGCCTGTCGGCATGCTGCTCTGGCCTGCAAGAATGTGTGAGCCCATCACACACCACACACACCCTTTTTCTTTGGGTGGGTGTGGGCATGAGTTAGCTATTAGTTACATTGGTCCTGGTCATCAGCTCGGCTGACGCACGCACACAGCTGGAAGACGCCCCGGGTTCTGGGCGACCCTGCACACAGACAGACAGACAGACAGACACAGGTGAACGCATCCCCACCCCACCGACGACACCGACCTAGATCAAAATTGACGCATGTCTTGCCCTCTTGATTGACGTAGCTGAGCGGCAGATGTGACGACACAGAGGCCCCCTGCCCACACACAGAGCCTACAAGACCAAGACACTTACCTGTACGTGTGTGGATGCGTGTGTGCGTGTCTCTCTCTGGGTGTCTCTCATACTGACTGACCTGAAGGGATGACTTGCAGTGCGTCAGGCGGTCGATCGCTCTGCTGTGTCATCTGCAGATACTCGTCATAGCCATACCGCCAGAACGACACACTGCAGGGCACACTCCTGCTCACACAACAAATTACCATTACAGACACACAAATATGGTGTGTGGGTGTGTGTGTGTGAGGCAGGCGTGTACCGAGTGCAGTTGAATGGTGCCGTCTGCTGTTGTCCTTCTTGGCGTGTGAGGGCATACGCGTGACACACCACTCGCAGAAACACCCCTTGGCTGCCGTCCACTGACACATACGCGAGGGAGGGTGGCACGGCAGTGGGAAAGGCCGCTGACGCGGTGAAGACACTCGTCGTGCCGTCATCAATTTGCCATCTTCCGCTCGTCTCGTTCAGCACAGCCCGCATGGCGCCATCCTGACACACACACATGCGTTCCAGTGGAGAGAGACAGCAATGAAGATTTGTATGCATGGATGGATGTCTTAAGATACCTGTGTCGCAAGAAGCTTATCGCTCTGACGGTAGTACAAAGCCTCTAGCCGAGCGAAATCGCCATCAGTGTGGGTGTGTGTGGAGGTCCCGAACTGCTCCTCATTAAGCACATGCACCGACACCACAGGACACTCCCGCAGCACCAGCAACCTCCCCGCGTCAATCGTGTACTCAGCAGAGAGGGAACAGCCTGTCCGGGAGGCGCAGTAGCACACACGCACCTCTCCCTCTGCCACGCCAATGGCTCCGAAATCGAGGCCGACGGCATCTGCTGTGAGGGAGGTGGCTCGCGCGGTTGCCAGGGGGACAGATAGAGGGGAGCCGCACTCAGCCTCTCCCTCTGTGAGCATCGCTCTGTGGCTCTCTTCGAGACCAATCCCCGTCAGCACCACAGAGCACCCCTCACGCCGCCCAGAAAGACAAATCGCATCCACAGAGAGCCGCACACCCCTTATCTCCAGCTCTCCCACAACGCGTGGAGGGTCGAACAGACAGCTGTCCCCGCTGTCAAAGCAGAAGCACACGGCAAACAGCCCCGGTTGCGAAGGTACCCCCAGATCGAAGGAGAGGGAGTCGATCATCTCCCCGTTTTGTGGCTCAGGAACGGCAGAAGACGACACGTGAACGGTCTTGGCAAAGAGGGAGGGGAAGGGCGAGCACCCTGGCTGCTCAGGTGAGGGCAGCGACACGGCCACTGCGTCAAGGCTGCCGGAGAAGAAGGTCCCAGAGACGTCGAACCGGCAGGTCTGCCCAACGGAGCACGTGAAGTGATGGTTCTCCTCTGCCAGTTTCACCACGTAGAACGTCCCAAGCTTCTTTCTGTAAGCCGTGAAGTTGCCGCAGTCACCATCAGGAGCATCAGGATCGCCTGCATAGCAGTAGCAGAGTGTGTAGTCCCTGGGTGTCGCAAAGGCCTTGACATCCAGCACAAACTCCGCTTGCGAGAAAGAGACGCCAGATGGAGCCACGGGGTTGGCAACCAGCCCTCCGAAATAATCAAACCCATATGTCTCATCGAGACACGACTCCGCCACACGCAGATCGGTGGCCTTGATGCGGTCAGCTGAAGTGAGGTCATGCCCAGACAGGCGGACAAGGCATGTTTCTCCCTGCACACACACGGGGGGGCGGGAGAAGGCCTGTGCGCCGACGAGAGTAAGGAAAGCGATAGGACCGGGGGAGCTGGGTGTGCATATGGGTCGTCTGCCGGATTTGTCGCGCCATGATGTGTCTTCTGGTGAGAGCACCAGAAATGGAGCCATCTCTGCACACACACACACACACACACACACATATGAGACATGGCCGAGAAAGGTTCCCTGTGTCCAGGTTGTGTTTGTGTGGCTACCTGTGGTCTCGATGGTGACGTCAGCAGACCACCCCTGCCGACAAGGGAAGGTCCCCCCGCCCTCCAGCCCGCCATACCCACCATACTGCCCCTCCTCTGTCTCGCCTCCACTCGTGAAGGAAAACTCTACTGCAAAGGAGACACGTTCCTCCCCTGCCGGCCCCGGCCTGTCCGTGAACAGCACTTGCTGCTGTGCACCATCGAAAAACCGCACGGTTGTAAAACCATCATTGCCATGCACAGACGCGTGCGCATGGAAGACAGAGCGAGTGCGGGAAGAAGGGGGCACGTGCAGAGGGCCGACCGTGTCGACAAGTACGTCGAAAACCGTGCCATTCCCCCACTGCACGAAAAGGTTGGCGTCGTGGCGCAGGACACCCTCACTCTCCTCACCGCCCACACACATGATGAGAGCATGGAAGCGGGCGAAGGCGAGCAAAGAGGGGTGGGCGAAGGGAAAAGGCAGCGGATAGACAAGGTGGCCACCCGCACCCTCAGTGCACGTGTCTGCCCCCGACTGTCGCAGAACGATCCTCTCTCGCCAGTCCATCTTTATCTCGATCGGCCCAGCCCCACACACAGAGGTATCGGTGTTGGTGCACGCAAAGTTGTCTCGCCACGGAAAGGCCGTAGGCAGCTCTGACCGATTAGATGGGCGGAAGACCACCAAGGGGTCCCTCCACCTCTCGCCCAGCTCTGTCGCATAGCAGACGACGCCGATCTCCTCACTTGTGCTGCTCTCGCCACCATAAAATGGGACACCGATCTCCACGCTCTCAGCATCAGAGAGAGCAACAGAAGCGCCTTGCTGCGTGATGGTGGAGGGAGAGGTGGATGGAAGGGCGGAGGGAGGCATGGAGAGGCAGGAGACAGCCATGACGGGTCGGTCCGTGCGGATCCGCGTGGATGGGGGGAGGGTGAGAGAGGTGAGCTCGACAGTCAGCACGGGGGGGAAGCCGTCTGCAGGAAAGGAAAGAGAAAGAGAGAGGCACAGAGCCCCCAGCACATGATGGTGTCTGTGTGTGGTGCGTGTGTTGGTTGGTACCTTCATTTCGACAAGCGATGCTCACGTATTCCGTCCACTGCTGCGCGTCATTCCTCCAACCTACACTCGCATGCGGCCCATTCTCACCACCGATCTGCTCCACTAGACACAGTCCTCCACCGCCCCCACTCTCCTTGTCTCGGACACACCACTTGCCTTGTCCTTCCTCGTAGACGATCTCGTATTGGCCTTTGGTGTACACACGCGTGTCTGTGAGTGCGTAGATCCCGTCCAGCCGTGGGAGGGAGAAGCCGTGGGTCCACAGATAGGGGCAGGGAGAAGGGGAGCGACATTGGGGTGGGGTAGAGGTGGGTGTGGGTGTGGGTGAGGGAGGGGGGCAGGCGGAATAGCTGCAGAAGAGACACTTGTGTGTGTGCGTATCTATGTCTCTCTGTCTCTGTCTATGAGTGTATGTGTGTGGATGGATGCCTTTGTGAGTATTGGCTTACTTGGTCCAGAAGTTGGTGCACGCATGACACGAATCGAAGGAAGGCCTGACACAAATGTGTGTGTGGGTTGCCACATACATACACACATATCTCTGTGTGTAATATATTGTGTGTGCCCGCCCCACCCCGCCCACATTTCATCGCAGCAGTCGTCGCCATCGAAGGAAAAGGACTTGAACAGACACACGTCGTCACACACGCCATCTCCAACCATGTATGGATGGCACAGCACTGAGACACACACACACACACACACACAGAGATGGACGCCATGCCCGTGGACGTGCGCACTTCCAAGCATGCGCAAACACAAACAGACCAGGTCTGTCCAATCGGCAGAGCCCACAGCTCTCCTGGCAGTTGATCAAAGCCTCTCTCGCATGGGGGCATTCATAGCACCGAGAGGGATCGGCTGCAAACCTGCATGACAGACCTGTGGTTGGATGGATGGACGTATAGACGCTTCCATCCATTCTGCGCTTGTGCGTACCGTACCATTCGCACGTGTGGCCGGTCGTAGCATCGACCCACTCGTGGACATCCCCACACTCGGGCACTGTCCGTGCAGTGCAGTGCAAACCGCACACACAGGTGCGACGGACTATGCGGGCGAATGGATATTTCTGAATACCGAAGAGGAAGCCTTCGGTGTTCGACGCACGGTTGGGCAGGCCGTTCGTATCCATCACTGTGCCCTCTCGTATGTGTAGCGACACTCTTGTGTATGCCAGTGGCTGTCAGGCAGACACACGAACAGACACAGATCGAAGGTGCGCGCCTCTCTGTGTAAGTACGTCAGTTACATGGATCTCGATGGCATATCGCCTCCGTGAGTCGGCGAATGGCTCGATGGAGAGGATGCTGCCATTCTCCAAAGCCACAGACGATTCAGTGAAATCCTGCGCACCGTGCACAAACAGCACTTGTGTGTTCGTGGGCAGCTGGCAGCTGGTTCACTTGCATTCTCACGCACATAAACGGCTTCGTTGAAAGTGACGTTGATGCGTATGGGGTACTCGTCGGTGATGGACTGGCCAACGGGGGCGATCGAGGGCACTGGGGTGGTGGTGTCTGCATCAATACAAGCATAGACACATGTTGGTTGGTATGTGCGCCTCTGCGTGTGTCTGTGATGCGCGCACCCACCATTCCACCAAGAGAAACGTGCTGATGGGGCTGAGACAGACAGACAGACAGACAGACAAAGAAGTGTGTGTGGCGGAGGTGGATGGATGGATGGACACATATCATACACACCTCTGATCCACAGCTTGACTTCGTTGACGTACGCCACTTCGCCCGTGGCCTTCAACAACGGGCCGGGGATCGCTGCACACACCACACCCATGGATGGATGGATGTGTCTGTGGGATAGATAAGTGTATCTACCTGTCAGCTCAGAATGTCCAACCACGTATGCTCTCTCGTCTGCAGAGCCCACCACGAGCGATCGGTTGTCGCCCATCTGCATGGACGACAGATGCATGCATCACTCGTTTACGGGAGAATACATGTGTATGTGTGTGTGTACCTGCAAACCACCGAACACATACTCGGTGCTGCTGTCGTGCTGGACACTTTGCGCGTCTTGCGCAAAGGGGGGTGAGGACTGCCGCCACGTGAGGGAATCGAACTCCTGATTACACATGAATGACACGTGTGAGTGTGTGTATGTGTCTCTGTGTGTGTATGTGTGTGGTTGTGTGCGTACTGTATTGGGCCATTCCATCAGGAATGTGTACACTCCTGTCTGCTCGTCTCTGAAGTGTTCCCAATCGACACTGTCCATCTGCGAGAACACCCGAGGGCAGCACGTGTCGATGTCTATCTGCGCACACCCACCCACAAACAAAACACGTGGGTGTGTGGCTTCACTCATGCAAACGCGCCATTGCCTGCCCAAGTACGTATTCAGTTGGCCACATTGAGGGTGCGATCTGATGCGCGAGCAGAAGCCACTCGGCTGCACACACACGGACAAACGGACACATCCATCTCTCAGTGCATGGATGCGCATTTGTGTATGTGTATGTGCGTCCATCGTACGTACGATGGGGCACGGCCGAATCAGCGCAGCAGGAGACGCCGTAAGCCTGAATGGGTAACAAACCCATTCATTACAGACATCCATGGTAAATGTGCATTCCTTCCTGCATGCGGACGGGAGCTTACCGTGCTGTTGCTCATGTCCATTGGCGCACATTCCCTCTCCGGAAATGTGTACACGTGAGTTTTGTTGCACTGGGTGAGCGTCCACTTGTCAGCCTGCGTGCTGCACCCACACAAGCAGAGAGAGCTACACACATAAGGGGGGCCATTCCATGTGTGTGTATCTGCCATGCAAACGCACCTCGTGTTGACAAAGCAGGTGCTCATGAATCCACCGTTGGTCGTCATGCTGAGGCAGCGTGCACACACGTACATCTGCACCACAGCCATGTATCTGTGTGGCGGGGGTACTTGAACTGCAGCTCGTCGAATGAGCACAGCCTCGCCCCCATCTGCTGGCAGACAGACACACCCTCCTCGTAAGTATCTGCACACACAAAGGGGTGTGGGTCTCTGTGTCTCTCTCCGCCCAATGTCGGTCGATGCACACGTACACGTCATGTTTGTGTCTGTCCGATTGGCATTGGCATCGGCATCATCCGCCCGCTGCTCTAGCTCTGCACATGAGCGAAGAGACGCTGACGCGAATGAGACACATACACGAAAGATGGAGGTCACAAATGGTTGTGTGTATGTCTGTGTGTGTGTTGTGCACTGACTGATGTGGGGTGTGCCGTCGGCGCAGCACATGTGGTGGGCCGTGTCGCTCTCCGCCGATGCACACTCCATCTGCACACCTGACCGATGGACACACGCACACACACACACACACACACAATTCACTTCTGTGTCTGTCTTCCGTACCGGTCCACTGTACACGCAGATGGCCGCCATTTGTACACTGCTCGTCCGTCCACACAAATGCGTCGGTCGGCAATCTATATGCGCAAAAGGAAAAGGCGTGTGTGGGTCTCTATATGCGTGTAGAAGGATTGAATTGGGGGGGGCTTGCCTGCACGCGACGGCCGTCTGGATGGCCGAGCCACGAATGACCTCTGTTTTCGTTCGGAAGTACACGGACAGACAGATGTGTGTGCGTGTGTGTCGTGTATATACATACCCTCATGAGTGCACAGTCGTGCGCCCATCTGCGTGCACATCTGCAGGGAGGCCGCGTGGGTCAGCGGCCTGCACACACCCACACACATGACACGTGCATCCATCCATCTCTACCTGGTTCTCTGTCTGTCCCTTCGGTACGCACGTGTCGCATTGGTCGGTGTGTGAGCACACGTGAGCGTTGTAAAGAGAGAACGGCCATCTCAGCTGAGCACACGGCTTGGTCGATCCTGTGTGTGCGCCCCTGCATGTGTCTGCGCGTCAGGGAGGTGTGGTGTGTGTCTCATTACTTTGGATGCGGTCAAACATGGAGAAGAGCCTGACGGCCTTGACGCGCAGCGATTCACTCCCTTCATACCTGTGAGTGTGCACACGTGGACGCATCCACATGTCTCTCTGTCTGTGCACCTATACCTGATGCCGATCGTCTGTTGGTCTCTCTCTGGATCGAGCGTCACGCTCACAGGGGTCGTCCTGCGTACTCACACATACATCCACCAGACCGATCGGTATGCACGGCTATGTGCGCGCCTTACCACTGCCATTCTGATGTGTCTCCATCTCCACTTGTGTGTGTGACAAAGGAAGCCGATTTCATTGGCGCATCCTGTGTGTGCACACACCCACACACACACACTGCTGCAGATGTGGTGTTCCTGTGTGCGTCTGTATCATTGCACACACGCGCACCTGGTACACAATCGTCGCTGGTACCGCCAGATTGTCCACGAGGAACGAGACAGACACGCGAGAAGGGTTGCAATATGACAGAGGGAAGATTAGGTCGCTGCACACAGAGAGAGAGAATTGAATACTTGTGCGTGTGGGGGCGTGTTTGCATCTTAAGAAATGTGTGCGCGTGTTTGTTTGTATGTACGTGTTTTGTGTGAGGGTAGCAGTCGTCTGTCCGCTGTGTGTGGCCGACTTGCTGACAGAAAGGTCACCCACACACTCCTGAGCTGAGCGCGTTAGGACACACACACATATAGTGGGGGGGAGGGGAGGACACACATCGAGACGTGCACATACACACCATTGAAGAGATCCACTGTGTTGGATTCTCTGTTGCGAACACAGCCATTGCAGTCGTCAACAGCACTCGATATCACACCTGCATACACACACACACAGCAAAGCAATCGCACTTCTGGATGCATCCACACATGCGCGCAAGGGCACAGACGTACCTTCCCGTATGCGTATGGTCACATAGCCGAGAGACAGTGCCCTCAGCGTGACACTGAAATACGTGTGCTCCCCAGAGATGTCCTGCACAATGCAGTTGCCGAGCAGGAGGGCATCGAAAATGCGGTCGCCATCGGTTATGCGATGAGAGAAGGTGACTGACAGCTGGAACAGCGGACCTACGGAGACAGGCCAGGCCACACACGCGGCGTGTACTTTGTGGTCTGGTGGGCCGGAAGATACCGATGATTGTGTTTTGTGTGCTTGAAGGCTCCAGAAGGGCGAGAGATACATTGGGGGGCGTGTTGTCTGCAAACACACGTGCGTGCATGCATGACAACACATGCGCCTGAATATAATCCATCACACGACTCAGTGCCTACCAATGCGCAGAAATGCGTCCGCCTGCAAAGAGACATCCACCGCCAGTGTGGCGCCTCTGACCATGCCAGCACTGGACACAAACATCCGTGCATACACAATATGTACACGATGAAGCGGATACACATCTCGACCCCTCGTACATGGTCTCGTGTGTGCGGCATTCGAGCGTCGCGTAGGAGAAATCAAAGCAGTAACAGCCGTCAGATGAGAGACACCTGTGGACACGCACACCCATCCCGTGTCTATGGGCTGTGTGGGATTCACACCTCTCGGCACATAGCAGAGGCGTCGATGCGTCGGAGACAGTGAAGGTGTCTGCCTCACCTGCGAACGCACACGCACACAAACACACACACACACACGCATTCGTAGTCCAAAGGAAGCAAACACACCACATGTACACCCGAGTGCTGTGTTTGTACACTGCTCATTTTGCGAGAAGAGGTAGGGGTTGACGAAGTTCGACACGAGGAGGGAGAGGCCTGATGCAGATACATACACACACGTGCAGGCCAGAGTGTATGTCACTTATGTGTGTGTGTGTACCTTTCCTGATGTAAACATACTGCGGCCAGAGCTCCGTCAGCACTTTGTTGTAGTATATCTAGTGGACACAACACACAGCTCTCGACGTGTGTGTGTGTGTAGACAGATTGTGCATGCCACGTACTGCAAATGGTTTGCCCAGATGGCACGTCCACTGGTTTGTGAGCGTCTGCACACACATCCCTATGTGAGTGCCTGTGCACGATGCACACACACACAGACATACGCCCACAGTCCTTACAGCTAAAATGACAGAGAAGGCATAGCAGTCGGCCAAACCCTCACATCTACACGCACACCAGGCACCCCACAAAAAAGAGAGCGAATGGCACACGTCGATTTGTCAGTGTCCACGCGCACCTTCTTGCACACTCTTCCTGAGTGCTGAAGACGTACTCAACGCGGTAAACACCGATGCGGGCATCGATGATGCGCCGCTCAAATGTGAGGAACGGATCTGGACAATTGCAAAGTGCGATAGCCAGTATTGGTGTGAACAGGCAGTGTTGGTGTGACCTCTGCGTGTGTATGCCTGAAAGCCCACTCCGCTCATCCCAGTGACATTCTCTCGCGAGATGCGACACGTGAAGGAACTAAATAGACACACAGACATACAAGGAGAGAGCCTCAGAGAGGCCGTTCTTTTTGTATGTCCCACCGACCGACCTGTAAGGGTACTTGAAGTCGAAACACGTGCATGCTGCAATCGCGAGACACCTGCATGTATACACACTCAGCGTGACATACACGATAGACACATGCGCTGTTGCTGTCATGCATCTCTCACTCACTGTTCAGCGCATCCCTCGGCCGTCTCGATGCCGCTGTATGTCGTCAGCGTGTTGGAACAGAAGCTGCATGCATTGGCAACGTCAGGGATGAAATGTACACGTAGGTATCATGTTGAATGGCACACCGGTTGCTCAGCGGGTCATGGAAAAACGCGAGAGGGTCAAACGACTCAGCGGCGCCTGCATGACAACAGAAGCGAAGACTCATTGGCTTATGTGGGTGCAGAATACCTGAGATGAGGCAGCAGACCCCCGCCACAGTCAGCCAAACGACATAATGGGTCTCCATTCCCGAGATTTCCCCGGATCCAATTGGATTCTTAGATCACCTTTTGGATCACAACCGCCATAAATTCTCCCTTCTCTAACCGATGGACGGCCCACCTTCCAGCCGTCCAGACATGGACGCCACGCCCCCCCAGAGTGCCTCAGCATCCGCCCCTCCCTCTCGCAACAAACGCACAAGAGAAGAAGACGAAGAAGTGCCAGCTGAGCAGCAGGAGGCAGCAAGCAGCAGCAGCAGCGGTGCCCGTGGTGCAGGTGGAGGATGCAGACGCACATCCATAGACGCAGCAGCGGGGGTCAGCAAGAAACAGCGAGTGGGCAGCACGCAGCATGGTGTCAGTGGCGCGGCAGCTGCGGCGATGGCTGGTGGCCAGGGCAGGACGGAGGACAGTGACGCTGGCACGCCCATGGGTGTGGAAGATGACATCGACATGCAGGTGGGGGGAAAGACAAAAGACATTTGATGAAGTGGGGACGGGACGGGACGGATGGGTTTGTGTAATGCAATCAATCAGGGTGGGCATGGTGACACCGCCGTCTTGTCGGTCCTCAGCGCCGTCAAGGCCAAGCTACAGAGGCAGCTGGCACGCGTCGAGGAGGCAGAGGCAAAGGTGAACGATTCACACATGTATGTATGCATCCACCCACCCACCCGTCCGTGACACAGCGACCGCCTGTCTGTGTCTGTGTCTGTGTCTGGCACCTGGACTGCTCAGGCACAGCATTTGTTCGCAGTGAGGGATGCCCTGCCGCCGCCCCAAACAGATGCACAGCAAAACCGAGTGCAGGTGAGGAGGCCAACACGCACCAACACAAACTGAAGCAAATATCTGACCCTTATTAATTATTGCCTTGTGTTGTCAGGACGTCGACCAACACCTGCGTGTGCTGCAGTCGATGGTCCGGCTAGAGACTCAGCCGCAACTCCAGGAAACGGAAGCTGAGCGGCGGATGGAGGTTTTGCGGGTGCAGATGGCCAGCAAGGTCGCCATGATCGAAGGCAAGATGGCCAATGTCGGCAGAGATGAGCAGGTTAGCAAGCCGATCACGTGTTGAAGAGAGGTTGCAATGCTGTTGTTGCTGTCTGTCTGTCAGGTTGAGTATTCGCTTTTGGAGAATGTGCCTGAGGTCCTCTGGATGAGCGACGAGCGGCGCATCGGCATTGGCTGCTTCCTGGGCTTCATTCCCTCAATCGAGTCCATCCTTCGCGTGAGCACCCACTTTCGCTCTCTCACGGAGCAGCCGGCCATGCACCCAATCGTCCAGCTCAACCGCAGCCCAAAGCCAAGCATCGCTGCCAGATGGACAGGTAAGAAATGGGCAACAAGCCACCAAATACACGAACCGACACGACACATCTGTGTGTGTGTGTGGGTGCGCATCAGGTCGGTTGTCGATGTGCCATACGTTGGTTGTGGACCGCGGGCCGACGGCATCGCTCCTCCAGGTGCTCGAGGCCACTGCGCCGACCGTCCAGACAATCGACCTCCGGGGCCAGTGGCAGGCACCCCGCAGGCTGCTGGCCCCACCCCCCATGAGGAGGAAGGCCACCTCCGAGGCCGTCGGTGGAAACAAGATGGCAGACAAGGTAACAGGCAGACACACCCGAGGCAAGCAGGAGAGCATGATTCTATCGGTGTGTGTGTGTGTGGCAGATGCCAGTGGTACCAGAGGAAAGAAAAAAGGAGGTGGAAAAGAAGGTACAGGCATGGAATGGACGCACGAGGGAAGAACAGCACACAACATATATCGATGCACTTTGTATCTGTCCAGAAGCCGATCGTGTTCCCCCACCTGCGGAAGGTGAGCGTCCGTGGAGACTCGTGGGGCATCGAACCGGACCTGCGCAACTACCAGTTTCCCGCCCTCTCACACTTGACAATGAGTAGTACGTCGGCTCCGTTAAAATGGATCGGACGGGCCTCAGTGGGCCTCACATCCATCCACATCGTCGGAGAGGTGCGCTAAGGACACACACAGATGTGACGACCAGATGACGCGTGTGTGTGTGTTTGCAGGAGCAGCGTGTGGAAACTATGGACCTCAATGAGGTGGCAAGCTCGCTGATCAGCACCCCGACGCAGTCAGGTGAGGGGTGCTATGACAGATCGACAGACAGACAGACAAACAGACAGACAGATAAACAGACAGACAGACAGGACTTGTCAGAAAGGCCCAACTGACGGTTTTTCTCTTTTTCTCATGATCAGCCGCGACGCTCACGTCCCTGACGGGTCTTCTCACGCCTCGGCCGGACAGGCTCCCGCGATTCATCCGAGCACTCAACGGGAGCCGCCTGCAGAAGATTGAACTGATGCTAAGGAATGAGAACGAACTCAGTTGCATCGAGGTACACACACAACCACAAAGAGAAGCTGTCAAGCATCGGCCAAACCCTCAATGAGACTCTGTGATGCGTCCGATACCAAACAGGCACTGCATCACTTTCGGACGAGATGTCTGGCCCCCACTGCGGAGGAGACGTACTACAGCATCGACCCCCTGAGGCTCATCCCCACCATCCCCCGCAATGACAAGAGGCTCTGCCTGTGCCTCCCATTGGCGAGCGAGACCGTCCTCGGCCCACAAGAGACCAGATCGGGCGTCCGCAGCCGACTGACCGCATGCCTGTCGACCGCGCAGGTCCTCTGCGCGCAGGCTGACGCGGTGGTCCTGCGGCCACAGGGGCGGGGTCTGATGGACGATGCCACGCTGCCGGCGGGGGCGCTTGCGTGCAGCACGGCGAAGGAGCTGTACGTTGAAGATCGTCTCCCGCCCCAGGTCAGGTTCCCCAGGCCCGGTATCGATACCGAGCGTCTGCCCGCGTCTATCGTGTCCGATCCTGCCTCGTTTTTTCCATCTGTCGAGTCGGTCGTTGTCCACGAAAGGCAGACAGGCGAGGCGCTGTATGGGCGTGGCGTGGGGAAGGTGCTGGGTGCTCTGCCTGCACTCGAGACAGCCACTTTTGAGGCCGTGGCTGACGTGACCCCGAATGGTACGCTGTGCGTAGTGCCGCCGGGGGCTGCCTTTTTGGCACCCGAAGGCAAACCACTGACCCTACACTCGAGCCTCGTGTTGAGAGTGAGATCCGGTGATGGCCTCGATATCGCTCAGTGGCGTCTGTATGGGGATGGCGACAAGGGCAGAGAGGTCAGAGAGGTCATGGAGAAGAGAGTGCGGCAGCTGCATGTCACCTTTATCGGCGCTCCAACCATCCCACACATCGCCACCTTTTGCACTTCAATGCTAGAGAGTATGGCGACGGCCTTGGACAGCTGCCCGCTTTTGCAGCGCGTCACGTTTGTCATGGAATTTTTCTCGTCTAGCACTCAGGTGTACACTCATCTGCGGGAGCAGGGGGAGGGGGCAGGACAGAGATTTTCCATCTCCGTCACCGCTGCCACCGTCACCACTGCCAACGACAAAGTGACAGTCACGATGAGTCGACCTTCTGGCGTGTCTGCATGAAGAAATGCGTTTGCTGGCCTCGTGTATGCCGTCCGTGTCCGTGAGAGTGTGTTTTGTGTGTCCGTGTGTGTGTTTTGTGTAAGTGTTTTCCTCTGTCGAGTGTATGCGATGCTGGTGGACGTATTTTTTCCAGAGAGACCGATGGATGGATCGACACATCCAAGTTAGTTACTTGGACGTATGATTCGAATGCATGAGGGGGGGCGGGGGAGAAGTTTTGTCGATGATGCATCCATCGAGTGTGGCTGCCGCCGACAATCATGTGACTGTGGGGTTCGTCGGTGTCTGGATGAGTAATACGTGTGCGTGTGCGTGACGCGACGTGGTGTTTTTGTCAACCAACCGCAATGACTGATTGACGAGTGCGGTCGGTGGGATTCGTTTTTGGCGTGTCTGTGCGTGTCGATGACCAATTCCCTCGTCAGTGAGCGACTGTTTCTGCCAGGAGATAGCCAGAATGGCTACAGCTGTCTGGGACAGGCTCACGAGGTTCAGTGTCTCTTCTTCCCCGGCCGATGTTTATGAGGTAGGTGTAATGCCTTCTTGTCAACCGCCCAGCCCCTGATGCATGAGAGCAGTCGGTGTCATCTTTTTTTTTCCGCGTCTGCGTGTGTGTGTCTCACCAAACGTGAGATGTCGTCAGTGAGTGATTGATGAAGGAAGATACATACCTGGAGGCCTTGCTGTGTGTGCGACCTTATGAAATAAAGGCTGATCGCACAAGCACCACAGTCAGCAGGAGATAAGCTGATGGCCAACCCGTTCTTTCGATGTCTGTTATGGTCCATTCTTTCGATGCCATTCATCCACAGACAGACAGACAGACAGACACTGTCAGACAGACAGCGGCACAGACAGGCAGCCGCTGTCTGGCTGATAGTGTCTGTCTGTCTGTCTGTCTGTGAGGTGGAACCCACGTGATTGCAATATGTGCCGTGTGGATGGACGATTGATTGATTGATCAATTCTTCCTGGTCTGCATGCTTGAAGTGTGTCCACGCAGCTCAGGACATGGTCGATAAACCCACGAGCACGGATACACCACACACGTTACGATATCCACATGCTGCAGCAAGCCCTCTACACCAGCCCCTTACCGCTTCGTTGGCTCGTTAGGCGACAGACACATACACGATATTTGACAGGAAAACGTCAGACAGAGAGGCCGTATACATCACAGGGAATCGACAGGCAGGCCCGGTTGACCGCCTCACAGCATGCCCACACCACACGATGGCCTCACGAGAGCGACGAACAAAACGGCTCACATCATGCGATAGAAGACGGAGAAAATGAGTGACGAGAGACACAACAGGACAGATGGATGGACAGTCCCGCCCCTCCCTGGACAGTCCCGAGGACCCTGCACGCGGTCGGGGTCCTCGTCTTTGCACCACCTGACCCTCCGACCCTCGGCCCACTCGCCCACACGCCTCTCGCCCTTGGCTGCACAGCAACAGGAAGGGAGAGGAAAACCTGAGTGACGGCCGCTCTCGTGTGTCCTCTCTCTTGTCCATTTCATATGTACCTGTGGTGTAGATCCCTCTCCCGTGCTGCTTGCCGTTGCGCCATCCCCCCACGTACTTGCTGCCACTCGGCCATGTGAATGTACCCTGAGGCAGGCAGCCAGGCAGGCAGGCAGGCAGGCAACATAAGAGAGGTGGTCCGGTCGCACTGGCCGGCCGTGATGTACACGTATGTCATTGGTTGGCTGCTTACGATTCCCTCCTTTTGGTCGTTTTCGTACTGTCCCGAGTAAGATCTGCCGTCGGGCCACGTGAAGGTGCCCTCGCCGTGCAGGCGGTTCTTCTTCCACTGGCCGTCGTACTTGCGACCGTCAGACCACTTGTACACGCCCCAACCCTCAATGTCGTCGTCGTAGAAGCCGCCGTCATACACAGAACCCTAAGGGACACAGAGGACACACCAACACACAGAGCAGGGAGGGATGGTCAATTGCTGGCTGTCTTGTGCGTGTGCGTGTGCGTGTCTTGCTCACGTCTGCCCACGTGAAGGTGCCCTCTCCGTGTTTCCTTCCGTGTGAGTACTGCCCCTGGTACTTGGCGCCGTCTGGCCACTCCTCAACGCCTCTCCCGTGCTGCTTGTCCGATTGCCACTGACCCTCGTACTTGCAGTAAGATCCCCCCATCAGACCAGACAGGGAGGCGACGCATCAGTCAGCCATAAATAGTGCAGGTGTTTTGTGTACTTCACATGACATACATACTTGCATCCGTCTGCGCGTTGGTAGAGCCCGTATCCGTGTGCCTTGTCTTCAAACCACTCCCCCTCATACACGTCACCATCAGCTGAGCGATTTAACCAGCAGACAGACCCACCAAACAACACAACGGCAGGGAGAGGTCGGGTCGGCTGTGGGAAGGAACGTTTTCTACTTGTGTGCCCTGCCCTGCGTGTGAGTTGCCTACCTTCAACGAGTTTGCCGTATCCCTGTCTCTTGTCGTTGACCCACTGCCCTTCGTACATGGCCCCGTCAGCCCACGTCTGGACACCAAAACCATCGCGAAGGTCACCCTGAAGGAACCAACAACACGACACACACACACGGAGAGAGAGAGAAGCAGTCACGCATGGCGTGTGCGTGCGTGTATCGGCATCACGTTTGGGTCAGCGAGCCACTGTCCCTTGTAGACAGCCCCGTTGTCGAATGTCATCTCCTTGAACATCCGCGGGCCGCTCGTGCCGTGGGTGGCGCTGCCCACCGGCGTGTGATTGCCACTCAACGGACCTCCATTCAGCCGACCAGACATCAGTGCGCCGTCAGCCCCTCGAGCCGACTTCATCGCCTCAACCTGACGGAAACACCACCACCCACAGACACATAGCAGATCATCTCAGACAGACAAGAGCGTGTTTGTGTGCGGTGTGGTTGTGTTGACTTTGCGCACCTCGGGATGCTGTGCCTGCGTGTCAATGAAGGCCAAGCTGAGAGTCATCATCAGCAGTGCAGCAGCACACATGGAGTGATGGGCCATCGCGTGGACGGGAAAAGAGTCAAGAGAGTCTTCTTGTTGAGTCCAGCCAGATGCAGAGGCAGCAGATAGACAAACAGCGAGACAAGAGGGAGAGATGAGTGACTGTCTGTCTCTCCGGCCAGGCCAACCATCATACAGTAGATCTCTGCGCTCAAACTGCTTGGACAGCTCAGATCCCTTCCTCAGGGGCTTCTCTCCGTTTCCGCCCGCCCTTAGCGCTTCCTTCCTGGCGAGCTAAGAGAGCCAGCCCTCCCATATCGTATGTGATCACCGAGCGGTGGAGAGATAACTCGTGGCCAAGGTGAGGGCGGCAGGGAGGCCTAGAGGTACGCTACCGATCTGCAATGCGGCTGGTGCAGAAGGAAGGGCACATTCCCATGTGAGAGGCAATTGGTGAGATGAAGCGTCATGATTCATGGTCCCCTGCATCCGTGTGACTTCCGTGTGTTGTTGGCTGCAGAGATGGCGGCGGGTTCCTCTCTCTGGTGGTGTGCCCAAGTGCGGCGTGTGTTATCTATCACACACAGACTCACACCCAGGTGCAGACATGCGGTGAGTGAGCAATGAATGGTGCACACAGACTCTCAGAGCTGAATGACGTGGACATGCCGGACCTGTCAATGCCGCCATTGTTGATGCAGGACATTCCGGATGTTTGGAGTGCGTCGGAGAGCTCATCCGCCACCGCCCCCACGGCCTTCGTGCTGTATGCTGCCCTACATGCAGGTACTCACACGCATACAGACACACACACACACACACACACACACACAGAGAGAGAGAGAGAGAGAGGGACATCACACTGGCGTAGTGCTGCCTTCTCTCTTTGTGTGTGCATCGACTGCTGGATGGATCAGAGCGAATACTCAGGAGGCTGCGGTGCGTCCCAACTACTTGGCACAAGAGTGTGTGGCGATAGTGCAGACCAGTGCACTGGGAGGCTCTGTGCGGGCCAACGTCAAGAGGTGAGGCGTAAAAATCGACTCATGTATGCCCATGCTGTATCTTGACCGATGATGCTTGGTGCAGGTGGGTGCTGCCGCTGGTCGGCGTGCTCGTGTCGATCATTGTGTCCGTGTGCGGCTCCGTGCTGCGCGCGTCGGCCTCAGTGTTGGTGTGGGTCCTGTTGGCCATCGTCAGGATGACGAGGGCTGCCCTGGTACTCACACACGAACATTCTTTGCATTCGCATGCAGTGGGTGGATTGTCGCATTCCATCTTGTGGTTGTGTCGTGCAGGTCCGTCTGCCTGCCGGCACGTCACTCACACCTTCGCACTACATTGCCCTGCTTGATATGATCGACGGCAAAAGAGGGCTCAAACTTCTCTATCGGTGCGAATCGGACGTATGCATGTGACTGCAACATCAGTAACTGGCCATTCCTCCTCCTGCCGCCCCGGCTGTGTGTGTCAGCTCGTCGCGTGACGGCACAAGTGTATGACGATCTGCTGCGCTGTATGGGCGACATGACCGGCCTGGTGTTCATCATACGCAAGGACCTATACGTCTTCGGCGCCTTCATCAGTGCCGGCCTGCTGCTGTCCGATGCCCTAACGATTGCCGCATGTACCACAGTGATGTGGCATTTCTCACTGGCCGGCCACTTCGCCACACCGACCAAAATCGATTTCACACGAGTGCAGCAGTCTGTGTGGGTGGCGGGGAGCCAGGAAAGGGCGTATAGTGCGAGTATGTCCATCGGTGGGTGTCTGTGGCTGGGGTTGGGCTGCCGTGACCATGGCGGCAAGACTGCTGCCGACATCCGCAGCTGCCGTCAGTACATCTCCCACTTCTCTATGCCTGGTAGCTACACGGGAGTGAGGGATCGCCTTGGCGATGCGGTGCTGGGTGGGTCGCGTGCCTTCATGGCGGACGAGATAGAGGTGCTGCATTTGATGGAGCAGTGATCGGCCAGTGGTCGGATTTTACTCCTCTTTCCCGCTCGATCTGTCCCAGCTGTACATACGTGAGGACTGTGTCGATGTCTAGCGACGTGTGTGTCGTTGTGATACGTGTGGGTTGCCGCCATGAGTTGAGACTTGAGGGGGGGGAACGTACATTGACGTGTAAGATATCCATGACATGGGACAATCACGCAATAACCAGAAATCGGCAACAACAACAACAAATAAATAGACTGACGCAGCGCACAATCCACCGCGATAAACATATCAACAAACACCACCGCCATGTCGTGCACATTCATGGACAAATATCAGTCAGTCGACATGACATCGGGCGTGTCGTCTCCCTTGTGGATGACGGGCATCATGACCGAGTGCGGATGCAGGCCCATCGACGCACTCCCAGCCGTCCCGACCGACGACACACTCTCCCTCTCCCTCTCCCTCTCCCGTGCCCTCCCCTTTCCTTGCACAGAAGACACCTGCACAGCATCATCCACACATACACGCCCGACTGCCTAGCCCCATCTCTCTATGCCTCTCTCCCTGTGCCTACCGGTGGCAGCATTTCATCAGCCGAGAGTGGCGGTATTCGTCTCTCCGACACGTATGGGCTGGTGGGGTTGGAGCGTCCCTCGAGGTTGGCCATGACGGCCCCGATGACCATTGATGAGTCGGTGACTCTGCGGCGCTTGGACGAGCTGGGCGACCCCGATGCTGCGGCCGGTGCTGCGGGGCTGGGCTTAGCACTTCGCTCGGAGCGGGCTGTGTGCATAGAGAGAGACACGTACACATGTGTCTGTTCTTCGTGGTTTGGGTACCAGGAGAAGTGGGTATATTGTCAGGCTGATTGCACACAGACACACACACACACAAACACACAGACAGAGAGATAGAGACATGACACTGGCGTAGATGTGCACACATGTCTCTCGGCTCGGCCCCACCACTCACCCCGGTCATGACGCTCCATCTCCTTCGAGGCGAGTCTACCGACGCGTAGCTCGTCGGCGATGACGGCAACTGCACGGATGGATTTGTACACACTGGGTTCTTCCCCTCTGTGGTCTGCATTCATACTGTCAGTGGGCTTGCGAGCGACGCCCTTCGTCTGTGAGGCATCAGCTTGACGTTGCCGTCGGGCGTCAGCTGGGATAGACACTCCTGGAAATCCTCAAAAGCTGGTGGTCGATCATCGATTGGGACACAAATCGATCACCCATTTGTCTTTGTTTGTTTGGGCCGGATCATTGCTTACAGACGTATCCGCTCAGCGACTTGTCGACTTCCCTGATCAGCCCGCAGCAAAAGTCCGTACGGGCTGTGCTCGAGCTGTCCACACAGGTGCACATACATACCCGTGTACAGGAGCACCCGTACACAGAGAGAGATGGGTGCACTTACCTCTTGCCAGGGTAGAGGACTTCCATGAGGTCCTCGACAGATATCCTGCCGTCGCCGTCGATGTCCATCATCGCAAAGGCAGTCTGAACGCATTTGCTCGCATGGTGTGTGTGTGTGTGTGTGTGTGTGTGTCAGTTGCAGACACACCCGTATTCTGTCTTTGTTGAGCAAGATTGATCGGTCGCAGGACGCCTGCAGGAACTCCGTGTAGCTGCACGCACACAATACAAGCATGCACGGAGCGACACACACACACATATACATGTGGGTCCATCCATCCATCGACACCCACCTGATTGTGCCGCTCCCGTCGACATCAATCGCCTGTATGCCATCCATCCGTGCACACGAACATGGGCGCGTGTTTCTCTATCCCCGCCACCTCTCGTCGATGTGTACGTACTTGGTAAGCAGGCTTGAGCAGTGTCTCGTCAACATAGGGCAGGTAAGAAGTGAAGAATTGACAAAACTCAGAGAAATTGATCAGCTGGACAAGCAATCACAGACGAGTGGAGGGATACGTACGAGTGAATGCATTGATGCAGGCTCACGCACCCCGCTGTCGTCTTCGTCAATCTCGCGGAAAGCGCCGAAGATATCTGCAGACATGCAAGAGTGGGCAATGAATGTGAACACCTCGTTGTTCGTCTCACCTTGGCTCTCCTTCTTGGTCACCAGGTGTCTCGTAATCACCAGCAGCACCGTCTACAGACACACACACACACGCACGTGTGATGGGATGTGAGTGTGTGCGGACTTGTGTACTTGTTGGAACCGCAGTGGTGCGCTGAATGTGGTCATGTTGTGCAAAGCCGCCAGCAAGACCTGCTCCTTCACTCTTTGGGGCGAACTCTTCTCGTGTTTCTCAAACCTATGGATGTGCGCTCGAATACGCGTGTTCAGATCAGTGTTGGTTGGGAGACATGACATCATTACCAGGGGTGCTTCTGTGCATCACTCGCACTCATCCGCTTCGACGGGTCTCGCTCGAGCAACTGCACATAGACAATCGTGTCTCCCTCCACTCATTCGCCAGTGTGTGCATGGGTACCTACTTTCAAGATGAGGTCTTTGCACTCCGGAGTGAAGGGCAGCCACTTGGTGCCCGACAAATCCACAGGCGCATTCAAAATCTTCTCCTCTGTTGTGGCCATACACATACACACCATCGTGTGTGTCTCCATGGTTGCCTGCGTTCCTAACTCCCCCGCTTACGTATTTGCTGATCGTCTGCGCCCCAGAAAGGCGGGTGGCCCACCTGTATATGCATATGCATGTCCCTCTATTTGTGCATGCGCATGTGCCCATGCGTACCAGCATCATGTAGAGCATGACGCCGCAAGACCACTCGTCCACCTTTGGACCATAGCGGTCGGAAAACATCTCGGGCGCTGATGAGCAGAGCAGAGAGCCAGCGAGAGACACATCGCGGCAGAAAGAGACGAGAAATGACACCGGGATGTATGCATCTTGGCGTGTGTGTATACCCATGTAGATGATGGTGCCGCATTCGCCCTCCATGGCATTCTCTTTGTCCTTCGCGTAGCGAATCGCTGTGCCGAAGTCTATCAGCTGTATGCACACACATGGACGTGCGGCTGTGTGCGCCCTGTGCGTTTCACTCTCTTCCTCTGTGAGTGTCTGCGTGTTGTGAGGTTCTCACTTTGATGATTTGCTCTTTTTCGCTGTCAAAGAGAATGTTCTCCATCTTGATGTCTCTGCAGCGTATGTGCGACCATGATGCATCCATCCACCCACCCACACGTTTGTATGTGCGTAAGTATGTGCGTATGCATACCGATGGCAGATGAATCGGTCGTGGCAGCAGCTGACGGCACTCAGCACCTGCATCCAATGAGTTGAATGAATCCGTGTGGGTACGTGTGCACGTGCAGTGCATTGGAGGGGCCTTGTATGCTTCCATGCCTGTTTCAGGATCGACGCTGCTTCCGACTCTTTGAAGTTCCTCTGCAAAAACCTCTGCACACATACGCACAGCCACAGAGAGGTGTAGGAACGCGTTCACAAGGCAGGTCAAGGGGATTGCTGTTCGTGCCTTGAATATCTCCCCGCCTGTTGCCAATTCCATGACGCAGTAGTAGTTCTCCTCGTCTTCAAAGAGTTCGTGCACCTGGGGGAGCCCGTACACATTACACATTAGCGGCAAGAAACTGTCTTTATCCGAAATGTGATTGATAACCTTGAGGACGTTGGGGTGGTCGAGCTCGTTCATGAATGCGCACTCCCTGATGAAGTCAGTCGTGTCGATGTCCTCCTTGGCCACCTGCTTTATCGCTGCAAACATACACAGAGAGAGGGGTAAGCACAGCACAGCACAGCGCAGCACAAACATGAGACACGAAGGCAGACACCCACATTGAAAAGACCTTTACCCCTCTTCTCCTGCAGCAGTTTGTGTCTCGCCTCATAGACCGTCCCAAAAGCACCACTGGCCAACTTTTTCCCTGCATCCACATGCCCCATTTGATGTCCACAATCAGACCACACACACAGATAAGTCGTACCCATGACATAGACGTCGCTGAGCTGCGTCTGGGCGGTCTTCCGTATGCTGCCCACATGTATCTATACGCACACACAATCGCACGTGTGTCTCTGTATGCGCCTGTCTGTGTGCCGACTTCCGTGTGTAGGTACGTTGTCTGAAGAGAGGAATCGGCTGCTCGCACGCCTGGTTGACGGCGCGCCATCAGCGGGCACCTGCAGTAACCAGAGCGACACACGCAGACAGACCGAGAGGCAGGTGCACCCATCCGTCCGTCCGTCCATCCATCCATGTGTGTGTCTGTACCTTGAACAATGGGTCATGATCCACCTGTATGGCCACCGAGTAGGCCTTGGGCTGCACCGTCGGCTAAACACACATCAGGGAGGCACACACATGATGTGTCCCTCCCTCCCAGTCCGCGCATCCATACACACAAACGTGTACTAACCTGTATGCCGAGTGCGGTCCTTGCCGACACCTGGATGCATCAAACACGCCCACACCATCCGTCTTTGCCCCCACAACGTACACACGATGAATGAGTGCATGGCACGAGGGTGCACCAACCAGTGGTGTGGCTGCCTTCTTCGCAATGTCGGCTGCCTTTGCCGATATGCAGCCCATCACGCCTGCAAGACACACACATACACGCATGCTTGCTGCACAGAGGTAGAGAACACGACATCTCCTTGCGTCTGTATGTGCTTGCTCGTTGTTGTGTTGCTGGGGCCGGTGTGTTTCGCTGTGCTGTTTCGTGTGTGTCACCGCAATGGTGTACACATGCTCTGATCTCTTCACGCCAGAAACCACCGGATTTCAGCTCGCGGAGGCCTGGGGGCTGGCCCCCCGTCCCTTCTTGAAGATTTCGTGTGCGCTTTGGGCCATTCAGAGACCTATCCTGATGAAGAGGAGTACCGTTGAGTATCTTGACGCTGAGTTGCTTCCGGTCAGAATGCGTGCCTTCCGCGGATTCGAAATTCTTTTCTCAGTGTTCTCACTCGTTGTTGCAGGGCGCGACTGGTGCAGCAGAAAGAGAAAGGCAAGAAGACGTCAACCACGTGACTGTGGAGCAAGAAGAAGGCGAAGCGGTCAGAGATTATAAGAGATGGAAGTCTTTCACCCTCGGTGCACACCGCTTTCTCTTTCGCAATACATGCAGGGCGCAGGCGAACAAAATGACGCCAATGACGTCACTGTGCAGCCAAATCCCCATCGCGTCGGATTCCAGCACGAGACTTGGCGCTCAGAAGAGACCCTACCGTCGGTTGTTCACGAGAAAGAGCGCTACGTGGCTGAGATGGGATTCGTGCGGGACGCGCTGATCTCTCGTCAGGACATCTATACATACCGTAGGCTGATGCATACATATTATACGCTCAAACGATCGGTCTCTTTGCTGCTTGCAGTGGCACTTGCGCCTCCTATTAGTGCGCTGGCTGCCGCCCGAGACCTCCGTCTGTCGCATGCTTCGCAGCGTCCTGTGCTTTTTCGGCATGTTCTGTTAGAGCACCCTCGGCACTACTGGATCCTTTATTGGATTATCAGTTTGACGCAGATAATCACACCGTTCGGCCTCCTATTCTGTGAGTACCAGGAACACTTCTCATGTGCAGCACTTGTGGCGTGATTTCTTGTTACAGATGCGACTTATGGCGGCTGGGAGAAGTTTGAGGGGGGCGACACTTTCACTCTTCCCTTTTCGTACACGGTCAACACTTACATTCCTCTGATAGCTCTCACGCGACTTCTCTCGGGGCTTTTATTTCTCATCAACTTCAACAATGCAATCATGGTGTTGGAGATGTCGTGCGAAGGACAAAAGCTCACATGCACTGAACCTTTCCTTTGTCTCGCAGGACGTAATGCGGCAGGTCTATTATCGAGAGATCTGCAAGAAGTTTCTGGATCCGGTCAATCGCTGGCTCTGTCCAGGCCAGACAGAGTACTCATCGACCGACGGCGTCACCTTCATTATCGAGCCTCTGCAAACAGGGAAAAACACAATGAGGTCCATCCTTGAGTCTTGTCATCTCGCCGATTCGGATCCCGGAAGGTCAAAAAGAGCAAATTTCAGATGGCGGATACTGAAAGATGGTGAGAGACACCGAAGCGCCCCACGATTCCCGAAGAGCACTTTCGTTGTATCCGAACACGTGCAGGTGTCTTTCTGAACTGGATGTTGACATGGTCTCTGACATGCGTTGCTCTGCCTCTGATCTTATGGCTTGAAGAAGACCCTCAAGATGTGATTCTCAACTCACTGGCCTTCAATTTCATTCTGAATCTGGTGGGCTGTCGGATGAGGAACGAACAATGTGCCCCGGGAATAGAGACACGTGATTTGTGTCTTTCAGGATGATTTGGGGTTGACACAACAAGTCCTACTCTTCGAGAAAGAGCATGTCGACTTCTGCTTTGCAGAGGTCAAGAAGAAGTTTGACCTTTTATGTGCAAAGTTTGAGGAGGCTTGCAACAAAGTCATCGACACCTCTGGGAGGGCTGGTTTCGTGAAGGCCTACAGCCGAATCACTGACAGGTTGGCGGCTTGCATCACGCATGTTAACCCAAAGTGACGCCAGTGTGTGTGATATGCAGGCGTCCGCTGTCGAGCGACTGCCCCAAAAGTCTCTCTCGAGACGAGCATGCGATGCTGTGTTCTATCGTCTACATTCTACGCAGCTCCTGGAAGCACCGACAAAATGCGTTTATCGATAGATTCGTATACGCAGGTAGATAGACTCTCATCTGACAAGGCGCTCTTGTGTCTCTCGGGTGATGTATCGCCTCTGCAGTGGCCATTCTCATTACCCTAACGTTCTGCTATCCGCCGTACTTCATGCGCTCCCACTTTATCGGCTGCTGCATCGTCCTGTACGTGGCGTTGGCCCTTCTTCTTTCCAGTAAGCCATGAGCGCACATTAATGTTTCGGTGCCTACCATGCACGAATGCGGCTACTCTCAGAGTGGCTTGGGGGATGGCGATGGAGCCCTTGTATCGAAAGTGTGAACGGACAAGCTGCGTGTTGTATGTGTGCTCATACACTGACTGCATCGATCGTCTGTCCATTTGTTTCTTAGGATGGCGAGCCAGCGACCTCTTTTGGCGGCTGAGACGCACCGACTCGAGTGTGGAATCAGGAGGCAGTAGCCCAATAAGTCCGGCCGGTCCAGGAACCCAGCTCACCCCGCTTGCCCAAGCCAAATGACGGCATGGCAAAAGGGCGCCAAAAAACGGGCTGTTGCCAGGAATCGGTGTCCATGTGAGATAGGAATGGCGTATTACGATGACTGCCATGAGAGCGACGGGAAGCTGTGATGTTGTGTCGGTGCGTCGAGTATGTCAGTGAGACATCTGGATGTGAATTGCTGTTGAGAGACATATCCATGGGTTGACGGCCAAGCGTTTGTTGAGGGCGTCATAAATAGGCACACACGCGATACATTTGAAGATATGTACACACGTGCACGTGATGTGTCTTTCCGTGTGTGTCCTTGAGCGAGTTCATGCAGTGCCTGACAGACAGAAAGGCAGACAGACTGACAGACGGACAGACGGACAGACAGACAGACAGACGGACATACAGACAGACAGACCGACCAACCGACAGACAGACAGCACCCGTCCCTCTCGAAGCGATGTCGGCTGCCTTTGCCGATGGGCAGTCAAAGGCAGTCCATTCACGTGAATGGCCATGCGATTTTTGCGACGACAGAGCGAATGCCGTGGGGGCCAGCCCCCAATCCGTGCGCGTCTCGCTCGAGATCCAGACATCTAAGGGTTGCTTGCAAGGGATGCAAACGACGATGAACCCCCCTGATGAATACGCGAATGACCACATCCTTCCGGTAAGGCGACGTTCTTCTCCCTCCCGCTCGGCGCTGAACCTCGAGCTCATTTCTCGTGTTGCAGGGCACGGCAGATGCACCAGAAGCATTGGAAGGGGACCAACAAAGCACCAACGATGTCACTATGCAGCCAGGGATCCGTCACGTCACTGTGCAGCCGCCAAATGATCATGATGAGCAGGACGAAACGGACGAGGAGCCCTCATCGGTCGCCGACGAGAAGGGGCGGTACCTGCATGAGCTGGGGTACGTCCGGGACGCCTTGTTATCTCACCAGGACATCTACACATACTGTAAGAGCTGATGATGACATACGTTAACTCATAGCGCAACGGCAGGCAGAGTCTGTCGGTCTCTCATGAAACGAACTGCTGCTGTAAGAGCTGATGCATATATGTTGTTAGGCGTTGTCGCACCTGTGTGTGTGTGCAGTGGCACTTGCGCCTCCCATCGGTGCCATGGCCCTTGCTCAGGGCCGCCGTCTGTCGCACGCCTCGCAGCGCCCTGTCTCTCTGAGACGTGTCTTCAGAGAGCACCCCTTTCATTACTGGATCCTCGACTGGATCATCAGCCTCGTCCAATGGACTGCGCCGATCATCTTGTTCTTCAGTAAGTAGGCAAGAACGGCGACTCATCTATCTATCCGTCGGCATGGCGGTTGTTGTGTGTTCATATCTGTGACATCGGTCGGCAGCTGCGCTTTTTGATGACCTTTGGGAGAAGACTGAGGAAGGCGTCCCCTTGACTCTTCCATTCTCATACACCGTCAAAGCGCACATACCTCTGATAGTCTTCGCGCGACTACTGTCGGTGCTCTTATTCCTCAGCAACTTCAACAACGCCATAATGGTATACAACTTCACAGGAAGAGACACCATAAACCAACCAACAACAAAGGCTACCGACTCAACTGCGGTTTCCCTTTGGCACAGAGTATGATGCGGCAGGTTTACTACTGGGAGATCTGCGGGCAGTTCCTGGATCCACTCAATCGCTGGCTCTATCCTGGGCAAACCGAGTACTCGCCAACCAACAGCATTCAATTCGTTAGAGCCCCTCTGCGCAAAGAGAAGACGGAGAAGGCAAAAGAGGCGAAGAACATTAGGTGGCGCATATTCAAGAAAGGTGAGCCATGCAAGTTTGCTTTGCTGCGTACATCTTTTGCTTGCACGTGTGCATGCAGGCATTCGGACAAACTGGACGCTTACATGGGTTCTGCTATGCATCGTTTTGCCTTTGATCTTGTGGCTCGAGCTGAACCCCCAAGATGTGATTCTTAATAGTTTGGCCTTCAATTTCGTTCTCAATCTGGTCGGCCGCATCAAAGAAGAAACGAACACTGAACAGCGGGCCTACCCTACAAGGGGGAGTGAGAAGATGCTCATATATGTCATCTCAGGATGACCTGGGCGACACACAGCAAGTGCTGCTGTTGAAGCGCGACCATGTGGTTTATTGCTTTGCGGAAGTGACCCGGAAGTGGGACCTTTTGTGTGTAAAATTCGAGGAAGCTTGCAATAAAGTCATCGCCAGTTGTGGGACAGAAGGCTTTGTGCAGGCTTACGGTCGAATCACTGACAGGTCGGCTTGCTTATACGATGGTGGACGGGAGACACGAATGTTTGGGTGGATGGTTGAGGTGTGCAGATTTGTTAATGAGTCGATCGACTGCCCTAAGTGCCTTTCACAAGACGAGCACGCGATGCTTCGCTCCATCATCGAGACGTTGCGCAGCTCCTGGGAGCAGCGGCGACATCTCTTTGTTGATGGATATGTGTACATCGGTACGTGCGATCGATTGCTGCTGTTGTGTACTAGTGTGTTGTGTGTCTCGGCCTGCTGCAGTGGGCGCTCTGATCGCTGGGACATTCTGCCATCCGCCTTACATCCGGCGCTACGATTTCATCGGCTTCTACGCTGTGTCGTACCTTGTTCTGGGGTTTTGTCTTTCCGGTAAATCAACACACATGTGTGTCTCAACCGTCTCCTCCTACGGTTCCCATCGCTCTTTCCTCAGAGTGGCTGGGAGATTGGAAATGGGGCCGTTACACTTTCACCGGAGGTACAACAACGGAGCTGAGGAGTGCTTTCTTAATCATGCTTGTATTTTGTTCGTCCAGGGTGGGAGTCGAGACGGAAGCGACTGCGTCGCGTCAGCCCGGACCAATGGCATCAGCCCGGTGTCACAGGTTCTGGTGAGAGCAGCCCGGTCACTCCTGTGAGCCCGGTGACACGGCTGATTCCGGTTAGCCGAGCCAGATGAATGGATGGATCACTGCCCTTGCAATTGTCGTCGGTGGATGTGACGTGATGTGCTGCCGTGATGGTACCAACTGGGGTGCTGGTGGTGAGACACATGTGATATGGTTGACTGACGGCCAAGCGTTCCTTGATGGGATGGGTCACAAATACGCACGGGCACGCAGTGTCTGTCTGTCACACACAACACAGTACACTTGAATACACACGTGTGTCATTGATCTCTCCGCGTGTGTGAGTGTCCTCAATTGAGCGAATTTATGCACTCAGATAGACACGCAGATGGATGGACGGATGGACGATACATACGCAGATAGATACACACACCTCTGTGTGGCGTGGAGAGAGAGGGGAGGCAGGGAGGGAGGGAGGGGCAGCTGAGTGGCTGTGGGTGGACAGGGGGGTGGGCAGATAGATGAGTGAGTCAGTGGGTGAGTCACTTGATTCGTGTTGAAACGCGTGACCGAAAAATGACTCATAGATAGACTGACAGATACACACATGACGATAGATAATCATCATTACACCATGAAGGAATCAATGAAGGGCAAACCAGAGAGAGGCGGGCACACGGAGAGAGAGACAGCGCACACGGCCACGCACCCACACAGACAGACAGACAGACATACTAATGCTTTGCAGTATGTACAATCCAATCAATCGCCACCGCCCACACGGACCACAAGGCACCTCACTCACCTTTCCATCCATCCACTCCATCGCAGCCGCACACGCACACCAAGGGGAGGGAGGGGAGAGCGAGATAGATAGAAGGGGACGCCACCTGTACACTCAGTGGGCGCATGCCGCATGCGTCAGTGACACATGCATAGAATGTGCCGAGATAGATATAAGTAAGTCCTCCCTCCCTCTCCGTGTCTAGCTAGCTAGCCACCCAGCCATTACGTACGTAAGTCAATTTGCCGACCGACCCATCCACTCAAGAAGCTTAAATGAGCAAGACAGATCGATGAGCATGAGTGACATCCACGCACCAGCCAGCCACCCACATGGCTGGCTGGCTGGCTGGGTGTCCACGTACGACGCCCATACACCACACCACGCAAAGAGGCCCGCCCCCCACAGAGAGTGCGTGTGTGTGTGCTGGAAAAACCCGGCAGGACACCACTGACAGACAGACGAACAGACGAACAGGCCGACGGTCGACAGAGAGGTGGGGAACGGAAAGAGCAAAAGCGATGGAAACATGGCTGACTGACAGACAGACGGCGAACAGGCGAACAGACGAACGGCACATGACTCACACCAGACAGACAGACAAGCAAGCGGAGAAGAGACAGCCGGGGAGCAAAGAAGGTTATGACCGAGACAGACAGACAGGCAGACAGACGGACAGGAATGAGTGTGTGTGTGTATGTGTGTGTGTAAGTGGGCGTCAGACGTGCACACCGCCCACAAAAAGATACACGGAAATGACCAAAGAGCTCTCACTCGCTCAACCCCCATGTGGTCTGGCCCATTCCTCATGTACCCGCCCCCCTCCCCCACAGGAATAATGAATGCACGCATCAGCGCACCGCCCACGGCCATCCCTCCCTCTCTCCATCTTCCTTCCCCGCGCGCACAAATGCAGTGCATGCACATACATACAGACAGACAGACATACAGATAGACGTAGACGTATACTCACAAATCCTCTCATCCCCTCTTTCTTAGCGTCGACTGCGTGCTATTGTGATGTCCAACCGCGGCTCGCCCCCTCTCTCCAGCCGTCTCGGACAGCCAGGCAACAAAGAAACGAACGAGCTTCCTTCCCCCCCTCCCTCTCCCCCTCCGCAATGCGGTTTATTATATATGTATACATATAGGTAGGCGGGCGGGTGCATATGTACACGTGTGTGTATATGTGTGTGTGTGTGTGTACTCACTGCCCGACCGACACAGTGGACTGATAATGCATAATGCATCGATCGCGTTGGTCGCGCAATGGCGCTGCCATGCACGCACCCATCCCTCCATCCCTCCCTCCATCCTATGTCACACGGCCTGTCTGGCATAGCTGCCCAAAATACACAGCAGCACCAGAAACAGCCTGCACACAAACACATGAACCGACACACAGTGGGCGGATGTATGTGTGGGTGGGAGGGCCGTTTCGCTTACGTGACGATGTCGTAGTAGAGACAGAAGGCCGCAAACACATAATCATCCGGTGTGAACACAAACCTGAACGAGAGCACCAACCACATTCGTCGTGGGTGTGCGTCTGGAAATATGTGTGTGTGTGTGTGTGTGTGTCAACTATACCTACCTGCTGTGTCCGCCCCCCACGATGGCCTGCGTGTCGTACACAATAAACCCCGAAAACAACAAGGCCAACAGACACCCTGAACACACACACATCCATCCATCCATCCATCCCATGAGTTGCTGCCTGTGGATGTGTGCGCGCGTCTGTGCGCGTGACGGACGTACCCCATACAGTTTCCATGCGGATCTTCTGCCCCAGCAGAGTGAAGGTCAACACGAAGAACACGACTATGGTCGCGAGCGCCAGTATCAGAGATAACTGCACACACACACACACACACATTGCCGAGTGAGTCCACACACACAGCAGACAACAAACAAGGCGTGCGCGTGATTACATACATACCCTGGTGCCGACTTCTTTGCTTCTGACAAGACAGGCGCTCAGTGTCATGACCAAGACCACACTCGCCGTGCCCGAGAAGGCCAGCTGCACACACACACACACACACACACACAAACAAACGCACAATGGCAGCACACGAATGGATGTGTGAGCACACAATGTGAGCATACCAGCAGTATGGTCGACGAGAGCTGGGCACAGGCAAGACCCAATATCACTCCTACACACACACACAGACACACACACACACACACACTTAGGTCCTCTGCGCGCTTGTATGTTGGTGGGATGCGCCAGTTGGTGTCACTGTGTGTCTGTACCTACCTTCGCATGCAGTGAATATGGCGAGCAGGATAAAGTTTTGAGGGAAGAGGCGCACACAGTCGGCAAAAAAGGCCATCGAACACAGAGACGCCAACCTGAATGCACAGCACACGTCAATGGCATGCACACGTGCGTGTGAAGGATGTGTGGGAAGGAGTGCCTCTCTGCCTGCGTAGGTACCAGAAGACGGCAATTCCGATGAGGAACCACTTGCTGCTTTTCGCAAAGGCCGACGCACGCGGATCTGAAGCGAGCACACACACACAAAGGGAGCACACAGAGCACACAGACAGACGTGCAGCCGTCTTCTGTGTGTCTTAATTGTGTAAATGGGTACCGATGCTGAATACGCTGGCGATGCCGACGGTGACCACCAGCTGCACAAAGATGATCGTGTAAACCTTGAGCGAAAAGGCTGACGTCGACGCACGCACAGCGAGATACAGAGAGAGAGAGAGAGAGAGATCACATGGATGGATGGCTGGCTGGATGGATGGACGGACATGCCTCCTCCTACCTCTTTTGATGTCTTTGGGCATTGTCTTGGTGGTCATGACCTCGACACCGCTCTCTAAATCTATATCGCCCCCACCCCCGCCGCCCTTATGGACACCCTTAGTGTCGCCATTCATGTGCAATGGCGGCATGGAGATCCGCAGGTCGTCGGGCGGCTTGGTCACAGTGATTGTCGGGGGAGCCTTCCGCTGGCTGCTGTGGTGGCGACCGTTGTGGTTGTGCCTGCTGCCGCTGCCGCTGCTGCCATCACGGCTGTGGCCATGCTTGCGTGTCGGTGCGGACACCGATGCGTCAGTGTGTCCGTGGGTCTCCCTCCGGCTGCCGTCCGATTGTTGCCGCACTGACGACACAGGCACACTCACAGCAGGGGCAGGCTCTTGGGGCGGTGAGGCAGGCGGCTGTAGGAACATTCAAGACATGGCACCATACACACGGCGATGAATGCACCCTCCTGTGTGTGTGTGTGTGTGTGTTGGTAGTGTGTGTACCTGCACTCTGTTCTCCTTGAGAGGTGGTGCTGCTGGTGCGGGGGGGAGCGGGGAAACGGCTTGCCGTGCCGCCACCGGCGACACATCTGCACACACCCACACACAGAGACACAACGATCCATCACCACGAATGCACTTTGAAGCATCGCATCAGGTGTTCACTCCCTCACCGTGTTGTCTGAGGGGCGGCGGCTGTTGGGTGTAGTGCTGTTGGTGGTGTGTGAGCATCTTCATCCTGCTGCCCCCCGCCAGCCGCGTGTTGGGGCCTATCTGCTGCTGCTTCGGGACGGGGTGGGTCGACACAAAATGATTGAACTGAGCCAAATTCTACACACACACACACACATACACCAAATTTGAACCAATATGGATGTGCGTGTGCGTGTGTGTGTGTGTGTGTGTATGTACCACAGCGTATTTGTCCTGTGATATCTTGGGCTGCTGCTGCTGCTGCTCGTGGGTGTGAGCAAGCGCAGGGGGGCAGGAGGGGTCAGGATGGGCCTACATGACATGTGCAGACAGACGAAGAATGAGTGAGGACATTCATTCATTCGCACACACAGGTGTACTGACTGTACGGTTGGTGTGTGGGTGTCTGGGCCCGCACTCACTCAACTCACCTGTGTGCTGATTGGCGAGTCGGTGTCGCACTGTATAGTCACCATGGATGTGTTGAGGCTCTCGCGACTCACACTGATAAACTGCGTGGGGGACGCCTCTACCACATCTGCACACATACACGACACACACAGAAACACAAATGCGAATGTGACTGTGCGTGTGTGTGTGGCTGTGGCAGCGAACGTACGTACCCTTGCTGTCCTCCATCCGAGAGGGCAACTTTGTGTCTTGGATTCTCGAGAGGGCCGCACAGTAACTAAGCACACACACGCACAGAGGCAGATAGATACAAACACAGACAGACAGACAGATGCACGTGTCTGCTCGAGAGAGGGAATGATGTGCTTTGCTTTCTCACTCACTCTTGATGCGTGTGTGTCCGCTCATCTGTACACAGATCATCCGCCGGCCTGCACACACAGAGAGAGAGGGAGGGAGGAGCACAAGCACACTGTGAAGGAGTGAAGGACTACAGACACACCCCGGACCGACCAGCACGTCCCCGTACACACCGGCAACCAACGCACACAAGCACACCCACCTCCTCTCGCGTCCACAAGCGTCGTCTCTCCTTCTCTTGTGCCACAAGGACCACATCTACACCACACACGCATTCGCTTTCTCCAACGGTGCCCACACGGCCGTCGTCCCCCCTACCGCCCATACCGTCTCTATCCTCGCTGTCACGGGGCAATCACAAACAAGGCGATCAGCGTACGAGCGTCGCGTCAGTCGCGCGTCAGGTATCTATCACTCACCAGCTCTCCCAAAGAGCGAGGGAGCGAGGAGAGATACAGATACGTATAATCGATCGCACGCCGAAAGACCACCGCAAGGCCTGCATACAAGTGGGTTGGGTCTGTATGCACCGCCGGCAGCTCGTGTGAGTCCTCGAGGGATCAAAACTCATTCAAAAACCGTCGAAGAGCTTGGGTAGGGCATCTGTGAATCCGTTAACAATTGGAGGGCAGGCGGCTTATAAGGCTGGTGGGATCTACGATTGAGGGAAAGAAATTCTCCTCTCGTTTGTCTGTCTGAAGAAGATAAGAAGACTCTGATCCTCCCGTCTCCCGTTCTGAATCAGTCCTTCATGGCGGCCCGTGCCGTGGGTGTCCTGCTGATTCTCTGCTCTGTGGCATGGACGGCTGTCAAGGCACAACAGGTAGACACACACACGCACACCATCCCATTCACTCATATTCATTCTTTTGATGCTCCGGTGTGCATGGCTCGTGCTCAGGTGCATTTGCGTCGTGTGCAGGAGGCCTCCCCGCCTGACGACACGTCGCTGTCTGCGTCAGAGTATGAGGGGCTGCTGGATTTGCTGGGGGGCAATGACACCACACAACTCACCTCACTCTACCGGTAGACACACATCTCATGCCCTGACACGAACAGCTGGCAGATGGCTCTCTGTCTGTGTGCATGTCTGTGTGTGTGTGTGTGTGTGTGTGTAGGACGTCTGTGCACGGCACCACCTACGGCGACCTGCTGGACCGAGTGGGCGACGCGAAGCCTATCGTGTTTGTGGTCAGGAACGGTCCACACGACTTCGGCGTCTATATCAGCAAGGGTCTTCGGCTGCCCGACGATCCGTTCGACAGCCGCGAGTACGAGTCTGATGTGTGGTGGTTCTCACTGGCCGACGCTTTTGGTGGACCGATCAAGATCGAGATCCCACGAGAGGAGCAGTATGTGGCTGTGGCGGGGAGGGAGGGGAATGCGGATGAGTCCGCAAATGTGCTTATCGGTGGGGCTCTGTGGTTGGGCTGGGGTAATTATCCACGAGGGCCTTCTTCCGACATCCGCAGCTGCTTTCAGGTCAGCGACAGCGAGTATGTGCCTGAGGGCTATACGAGGGTCAGAGAGGAGCTTACTGGCAGTGTGTATCTCGGTGGGTATGTAGAGGTGTTGCATGTAGTGCAGTAGTCATGAGTGAGGCGGATGTCTTTTGCGCGTCTGCTGACCACTCGTTCTTTCCTGCTATCGCATGATGCGAATCGCTTTTTTTCTCTCTCTCGTGAGGCCGTTTTGTGTGCACGTTGTGGGAGTTAGTGGCGGTCAATCGGGCCCGCCTGTTGTCCCTGTGACAGAAACGGCCTGTCTGTCTCTCTGTCTGCCTGTCTGCCTGCCTGTCTGTCTGTCTGCTTGGCATGTATGTGTCTCCTTCGAGCCGATCTGGTGGGTGAATGAGAGTGTGTGCGCCTCGACAGGCTTTTTGCTGTCATGGCTGATGGATTGAGCGAATAAATGGCGTCAGTCGGGTTTAATCGACCGAGTGCCTTGTTTGGCTTGTCAGACCGGGAACAAATGGAAAACATGCACGTTCCTTCGTTTAGTCGTGAGACTGCCAGTACGTGTGGATGGACGGACGCCTCAATGGGTGTATGCATTCATGAGTGGGACCCTTTGTAGCTGTCAGTCAACCACTCAAACTTCAATACGTCACTGTCAATATACTGAAGTTTTCTGCCAGTCAATATACTGAAGCAGGCAAAAAACGAACGTAGGCAGGATCGATTGACCTACAACAACCTACGTCTGTCTGCGAGGCTCGATTGACAATACTCAGCTGACACCAGAGGTAGAAAGGATGAGGAAAAAGGGAGCGACAAGAGACACAGACAGACAGACAGACAGTCAGACAGACGGACATGTCTGCCAACACATTATGGCAGACACACACGTGAGCATTGTCGCACGCAGGCAGGCAGGCCACACATATCACACACTTTGTCAGGCAGGCCCGATTGACCTCTGGTGGCACTTTGCCACTTTACCAGAAGAGAGAAAGAGAGACAGTGAGAAAGACGGCCACTCACATCGTGCGATAGGATATGAAAAGGGGCAGTAGAGAAACACATACATACATACAGACATCTCACTTAGTGACTGCCCCTTGTGTTGCACGTCGGCGACCCCTTCAACACCCACAAACACATAGCTTGAAAGCAGCCGCGGATGTCGGCTAGAGACCGCAATACACGCCAGGTCATGAATGAATCCATCAAGATGCGGCATAGATGAACGCGGTCAGCCCCACGAGCACCGCCGTGGCCACTTGCGTGCGGCTGGCGACCGATTTCGTCCTGCCCTCAGTCTGCTGCTGCTGTACGCTCCCATGCAGTACCTCGATCTCATCAGCCGTGAACTCGTACGACCCACCCAAGAAAGCATCGCCATCCAACTCAATCCTCTCTCCCGTATAGCCATCAGGCACATACTCGCTGTCCGTCCACTGAGAGCAGTTTCGGATGTCGGCAGCAGGCCCCAAATACAGACGCCCAGGGCCTCCGATATACATACTCGCCCATCTTTCCGAAAGAAGCCCCACATACTGCCGCTCTGGGTTTCCTTCTATCTTGGTCGGTTGGGGGAAGTGGCCGGCCAGCGAGAAGTGCCACACGTCACACTCGTATGTGCGAAATCCGTCGTAGATCATATCGTAGTGAAAGATAGCCGTACCATCACATTTATAGAAGCCGCCCCCTGCCGTGTGGTCGGGCGACTGGATGCCGCCACTGATGAAGGCGCCGAACACGTACTGATCCTTCTTGATGACCACCACGAGAGGCCCCGCGTCGCCCACTCCGTCTAGCAGGTGGTTCCGTCGAGATGCGAAGACGGTAGCGAAGACCTAACAGAGAAGAAGAGAAGCAGCGAGATTGCGTGCCTCATGTAGTGATGTCCATGCCGGTGTTGTCACCGACACGGTCGTGCAAATCGCTATAGTTGGTGCCGTGAACAGATGTCCTGCATTACACACACACTCACACATTTGCGCACATCTCTCTCTCTCTCTCTCTCTCTCTCTCTGTGCGTGCGTGTGTGTGTGTGTGTGTGTTTGTGTGTGTACCGGTAGAGTGAGGTCAGTCGTGTGGTCTCGTTACCCATCAAATCGAGCAGCCCCTCACACAATGCGGCAGACAGCGAAGTGCCGTTGGGCGGGTCACTCTGCACACGACGCAAATGCACCTGAACACACGAGTGATACACAGGATTGCACTGTTTGCGAGCTTAGAGATCTGAGGCAATCCTTTGAGAACGTGGCGTTTGTTCTCCTTTTTTCTGTCGTCAGACGGCTGTCCGTCGGGAGAGTGAGTCAATCAGCAGACAAAGCGCCGAATCGAATCATTCGAATCAACACTGAGCCGACTGACAGTCACCAGAGGTGAGAGAGGGGCCTTTCTGTGAACCTACGGGCGTAATGCTGCAGGCCTGTGTTGTGAGGGGTGATGGCGGCCGGCTCATCGTCGGCTGCTGCTGTGGTTGACAGCAAATCACTGCTCAAGGGCGACAAACATCCATGCGGTCAGTCAGCCATCACACACATGGACGAACGGACTCGAGAAGAGAGCGCATATAACATGCCTGATGGTGGGTGACGGATGCAGCCACCTATGGCATACCGACTTCATCGTCGGTGCGTATTGATATACTGTCGTTTCTTCGTTTGGTCATTGAATTATTCACACACACTGTCATCCACTCAAAACACGCACTGTCAAAACACACACACACACACACACTCGCCCGTGCGACTGCCAGTACGTGTAGATGGACGGACGCCTCAATGGGTGTATGCATTCATGCGTCGATGAACGTAGGCAGGCTCGATTGACCTAAACAGCGAACCATCACCTGACGATTCCCTGTGATCTCCACGGCCTTTCTGCCTAACGTGTGTGTGTGTGTGTGTGTCTGTCTGTAATGAGCACCTAACGAGCGAACGAAGCGGTGAGGGGATGGTGTAGAGGGCTTGCTGCAGCCCTTGGCTATCGTAATGTGTGTGGTGTTCGGTGCTCGTGGATTTATCGACTATTTGCTGAGCTGCGTGGACACATTTGCATGCGACCGAGAAGAATTGATTGATCGTTCATCCGCACGGTCCTGTCACTATTGCACATACATTCACGTGGGTCCCCCCTCACACAGCCGCATTCTGTCAACACACCTAGGCAGATGGACCGACCTATGCACACACCAACTAACAGCAATCCCACTCCCCACCGCCTCACTCACTCACTGCCCCACATGGAACACCTCTATCGCATCCGCATGGAACAGCTCCGACCCACCCAGCAGAGCATCGCCCCTGCTATTCGTCAGCCCCATGTAGCCCGCAGGCACATAACAGCTGGGGGTAAGCTGGCAGCAGCTGAAAAGGTCCCCAGCAGGCCGCCCACAATGGGCGACACCCAGCTGCAGACGCCCACCGATTGACACACACCCACTATTCACAGACCCCTCCCTCCCCGCCACCTCCACGAACTGCAGACGTGGGTCGATGTCGATCTTGGTCGGCTGGCCGAAGTGGTCGGTCAGCGAGAAATACCATACACGACATTCTGTTGTGCGGCTCTTGCTTGGGTCGTCGGGCAGCTGGAGGCCGCCCTTGATGTACACGCCAAAGTGGTATTGGTCCTTGTGGATGATGACCGCCAGCGGCTTCTCGGCGCCCACACGGTCGAGCAGGTCACCATACGTAACACCGTGGTGACTAGACCTGATAGACATCACAAGCGCGAAGGCACAGACACACGCCATGCAACCTGCACCACTGCAGGTGTGTGTCACCGACTTACCGGTAGAGCACCTTCAGCTCTGTGGCGCGCCCCAGCCACTGAGGGAATATGCGATCGAGGACGTCCTTCGATGACTTCCACACAGCAGCAGCAGCCACACCACTAAACGAGCCGTCGCCACCTATTATGTATGTACACACATAGCCATCCACATACACACATTTGTACGGCTGGCAGCTGGGCCTACCAGCTGGCGGCGCTTGCCGCCGGTTGGCAAAGGGGCCGCCGTGCTCAAACGAAGGCTGCACATCGACACAAACGGGGCAGAGGGCCTCACGTGTGTCTGGCTGCTGGCTCATATGAATGAGCGTACCTGAGGCGTGGGTCTGGGCTGCAATCGGGTGGAAGGGCTACTGGCTTTGCGCTGCCTCGCGCCTTCGCTGCTGTCGGCGGGCCACTGGTCCAAATAGATGATGCGAATCTCATTGGGCTTTTCCTTCAACTCACCCCTGCACACACACACACACACACACACACACACATACATACACACACACGGAAAGGGAGAGTGGGAAAGAGTTGGTGTGCCACTCGCCGAGTGTGTCTGCATGTGTGTGTCTTACGCCATGTTATGTTCATATCCGCAGATGGCCACCTTGAGCCCCAGCTGGCGGCAGTCGTCGATGATGTCCGAGAAGTCCTTGTCACCCGCAACCCTGAAGCAATGCATCAACCGATGTGTGTCATGTTGTCCCTCTCTCTCTCTTGCCCCGTTTGTGTACTTACAGGACGATTGTTGTGATTCCGTCACTGCACTCGGCTGATGAAGACGCTGCGGACTCCCTTGCACCGATGCGCGAGTTCTCTGATGCGGCCAACGACACATGCGAGTCATTCTCCGTCGTCATGGCCTTGCTTCGCCGACTTACCAAATGCCGTTTTGAGCATCCTGCGAACTATCATGACGTCGCCACCCTGAACCCAACCTGACAGACAGACAGACAGACAGACACAGAGATTGTACGTCACACACCCACACCCTGACGGTCGTCCCTTTCACCTTGGAGCCTTTCTCCTCTCTCGTTGTAGCCCACGCTCTGCTTCTTGAAATCGCACAGCTCCACGGTGACTCGCGAGCTGATGCACCGCTGGTGACGCAAGTGGTCGTGGAGGACGATGCGCTTGTTCTTCTTCTGAATCAGATCTGCGGTCCTGCCGCGAGCCACCTTCGAGTACCTACAGGAAGCACAGCCAGGAGAGCTGTATGGCGTAAAGCGCTCTGTGTCTGTAAGTGTCACCATTTGTCAGGATCTCCGTCGACAAAGTACGTCTGGACGTTGTCCACTCCCAGCGTGGCCGCCGCATACTCGAGCATTTTGAGGCACACGTCACCACTCATGTCGGACCCCCGCCTCGCCTTGAAGCTGTCCTGAACACACCAACAAGACAACAAACAAATCACACGTACACTCGCCATTCGGCCGTTTCCTGCTGCATGTGTGTGAGCGAATTCGCGCCTGTATGTAGGACCCATCGACGATGAACACGGCTTTCGGCTTCGTCAACGCCATGCTGTCCCAACGGGTGCTCCAACCTGCAAAGCAATCACAACCCACATGCATGCAGGGCAAGAGAATAAGTGAATCGATGCGAATGAGTGATGCTCATTTTCTCGTACCTGTCCGCTACTAAGCTTTGGCAGCCACCCACTCAGAGATCTCGCCAACAATCGGGAGAGAGCACTGTTCTCAGCGGCTCAGGGAACCCTAAACCCTAAGCCCTACTGCCCAAACCCTAGGGTGCGTGGCTTTTAATTGAACTGGGCTAGGGTACTAGCTTCAGCTCGCCTTACAAATCCCTCGAAGATCTCCTCGACTCTCTCTCTCTCTCCTCTTCCTCCTCTCTGTGTCTTCGTCTTCGTCTTCCGACTCAACAAACAGAAATCTGTTTGCTCTCTCATCCTCTCTCGTCCTCTTGCCCTTAGTTCACACGATGGCGGCTGCGTGGAGTGCTCTCATGCTGATGGTGATGTTTCTTTGTGTGGCGTGGGACCACGTTGAGGCGAGACGTGCACAACAGGTATGTCCACATGCCATGTGATTGATGCATTCCTGGGTGTTCACTCACTCACGAGTCTCAGCCGGTGCAGGTCCGTCGAATGCAGTCCCGGCCAATCGTCACGTCGCTGTCTATGTCTGAACAAGAGGGGCTGCTCGGTCTCCTCAACGCCACGGAACTCGACACACGCTACCGGTAGACACACACACGCCCTGACAACAGCTGGCCGATGATTCTCCGTGTGTTGTGCGCGCGTGTGTGTGGTGTGCAGAACGTCTGTGGACGGCACCAGTTATTGGGATCTGCTGGGCTACGCGAGCGGCTTGGGGCCTGTCGTGTTGGTGATCAGGAAGGACCAGTATCTGTTCGGCGCCTACATCAGTGAGGGTATCCAGATGCCCGACGGCCCGACCGACAGCCACAGATACGACAGTGATGTGTTGTGGTTCTCACTGGCCGGCCACTTCCCCAAGCCGACCAAGATTGACATCGACCGAGAGAGGCACTTTGTGTATGTGACAGGGGCGGAGGCGGAAGAATTGGTGAATATGGCTATCGGTACGGAGCTGGAGTTGGGCTTTGGTGGCCATGGCAGTCAGCAGCCTGCTGACGACATCCGCAGCTGCCTTCAGTACATCGGCAGCGACGACGTGCCTGAGGGCTACACGGGGGCCGGGGATGGGGAGGGCGATGCTTATCTGGGTGGGTCGTATGAGTTTATGGCGGACGAGATAGAAGTGCTGTGGGTGAATGTGGAACAGTGAGGAAGTCATGTGGGTGTTTTTCCTGATGCGCTCTCTCTGTCCTTCCCCCCCCCCTGCCATGTCCTGTCGCATGTTGTATTGCATCTTTCCTCCCTTTGATGTTCTATCGCATAATGTGAGTCTCTCTTTGTTTTCTCTCCTGAGGCCATTTTGTGTGCATGTTTGTGGGAGCCAGGGGCGGTCAATCGGGCCTGCCTGTCGTCCCTGTGACATAAACGGCCTGTCTGCCTCTCTGTCTGCCTGTCTGCCTGGCATGTATGTGTCTCTTCGTGCTGATCTGGTGGCTGCATGAGAGTGTGTGCGCCTCGACAGGCTTTTTGCTGTCATGGCTGAGCGAATAAATGGCGTCAGTCGGGTTTACTCGACTGACTGCCTTGGTTGCCTTGTCAGACCGGGAACAACTGTAAAGACATGCAGTGTGCGTATTGATATAGGGTTTGACGAGACACCTTTTGATGCGAAGTGGACATCTCGCATCGTGTTTTTTATGTGGATCTGCGTCGCGAGTCCCGTCTATACCTCCGACAAGGTGCGTAGTCGCTGGAAGGAAGAGCAGACAGACAGGAGGACACAGGGCGGGCAGGCAGGCACACGAGCCACTCTACTCGACGAGGAAAACCACGCCCTCACCAATCCCCTGTGCGATAGTATAGTACTCAAAAAGCACACAAAAACGCAACCCACCGTGCAGATCATAATAATGCCGTCATGACTGCAGTCTCCCCCTCACTCACTCATCCACACACACCCGCCGTCACTGGCTGCCCGCTCATTCATTCATTGAGTCAGTCATTCAGTCACTGTCGTCCTCCGCATCCCCGTCGGTCTCAATCGACGCCATACAGCTCCAGGATGTCACTCCGGGGCATCGGCTTCAGGTTGGGCTGTTCGAACAGTCTTTCCAGGTCGGTCTTCTTGGGCTCGCCTTTGGGGAGGGTGTCGAATGGGATGTAGCTGTAGGTGCCGCCGTCGTACTCGGTGCCTCCAGTGTCGTTCTCGCGCATGGTGGCAAAGATCAGGCGATTCTTGTCCAAGTCTATCCAGTAACCATACTGATGATCCACACACACACACACACACGCAGAGGTAGATGGAAGAGAGGTGTGTGTGTGTGTGTGTGAGCGGACGTGTCTGAAGAGGTCGCATGCAGTGAGCGGCTCCTCGTGGCAGTACATGCCCATGTCCAACACTCTCGGCAGCTGCAGCCCGTTGTGGTTGCGCTGCAGCTGCGCAGACACACACACACACACGGAACCACACACAGACACACACACACAGACGGCAAGGTCAACGAAACAACCACACACATCCCATCTATCCCATGATCTGTCTGTCTGTCGAGCTTGCCTGCCAGAGGTCGGGAATTTCGACCTTCTCGAGCCTGTCGATCTGCTCCTTCCAGCGTGTGAGGTCAGGGTCCCTCATCATTTCCCACAGGAGCTGCAGCAGCACCGCAACCCCCAGGCCAGACGGGTAGCTGTCAAAGCAGTTGTAGACCGTTATGGTGCGGCCGCGCCACCGAAAACCCGCAACACCCTTAGTGCCCATTCTCAGTCACAGCGGCGCAATCAAAGGATCAAGGCAGATGCCGTTCCAGATGCGTGGATGGTGGATGAATCAAGGCAGCTGCCAATCGACAAACACACACAGACAAAGGGACGACAGTGCACACACCAAGCAAAGGTCAAAGACCCCCTTTCGTGTCTGCCTACGATTGGCGTACTAACAGATGATCAGTCTGTCAACCAATGGGCAAGAAGCTCCGCGCTGCTGATGAGCACCAGCACTACGGCCAATGCCCAAAGAATGACCACCCCCTTGGTAGGCAAGCCGAGCCCGCCGGAAACAAGCCAGCACACGAGCACGATGCCTCCGCTGAGGTTGATGGCCACAGTACCACCGAGTCCGAGCCCCACGGCGCCGGGTTTGCGGAACGCCTCAACAAGCAGTGCGATGGCGGGGTAGAAGGAGCTGTCGGACCTCGGGATGCCAAAGATCGCCGGAAGCTCCGTGGAGGAGGAGGAGAAGAGCAGCAACACGACGCCCAGGAACAGGTTGATCACTGCATCAACGGGCAGCTACTAACGCATGCGACACTCCTGTTGGATGGCACCATCTTGTCTGCGTTGCCAGAGACGGAAGGGACTTGCCGGTTGCCGTCCGAGCCGATTTTGCCAGACCTTCACGTAGATCTTGCAGCCCAGGCCCTTCCCTCCGTCGGTTCCTTCCGGGGCACTGCGTTAAACCGTTTTCGCCTGCGAGCTTAGAATGGAGATCCCTCCAACGCAAATCCCGTGGAGCAGCGGAGATCTGCCGCGTCAGAGTTCTCGGCGGCGAGCGGCTGCTAAATTGTAGCGCCAATGTTGGCAGCAGATGAAGTTGCTGCTGATCCCTCCGAGCAGCCCCAGGACAGCAGCAGCAGCCGCGACCACGAGCAGCTGCTGCAGCACAGCAGCGCCCCCCCCATCTGCCTCTCCGACCTGCCTCCCCGTGTGCTTGCCTTCATCTTCTGCTCGGGGCTGCTGGTGGTCGTGTCATTGCTATCCGGCGCCATCTCCTGGCTGTTCCCCTCTTTCGCCCACTGGCCGTCGAGGCGTCAGGTGTGCGAGATACGTCGGCAGGCCAAGGCCATGCAGGGGCAGCTGCAGCGGCTGAAGGACAACATGGAGCTGACCAAGAACAGCCTCACGCTGCACCACGCAATCATGATGGAGAAGGAGACCGACAGACTCGTCGGGGAGATGGCGCTGAGCGGGCAGAGGGAGGGGGAGGGGGGCGGTGGTGGTCGTGATGCCCATGACGGTCACGGGCTGCCGGATGGGTATCTGACGGCACTGCCCTTGTCGGAGGTCATTGGCAATGGTACGAGAGTGGTGTTTGTGATCTGCCCGACACACGAGAGGCCCACACAGGTGCCCGACCTCATTCGACTCTTTGCCAGCCTGGCTACCGTCCGCATCAACCACCCAGGTAGGTACCCTTGCACTGGGCACACACACAGATGGACAACCTGATCCATCCATCCATCCCTCTGTGTTTGTTTGTTTCTCGGCGCAGGTGGGGTGCACATCCACCTGATATTGGTTGAGGACGCCTCGACCCCGTCGCAGACCATCCAGCACCACCTGGACACCACCAGCATGAACAGGCAAATGTTCTCTTACGACCACTTGATACTCGCCAGCACCCCTGGTAACACTTGCAGACACACAGACAGACACACACACAGACAGACAGACACACAGACAGACAGACAGGCGGACAGACACCTCACCTGCATATGGCTCGTGTGTGTATAGGTCTGCGTGTGCGTGGTGCGGAGCCTCGCAACAGGGGCATATGGCGGCTGCGGGAGATCATACGGGCTGAGAGGATGCCGCACCTACGGGATCAGCTCATCCAGGTCAGCAAGCACGTGGGCACGGCAGAGGAGAGATCAGACGGACGGATGGGAGCAGACGTCAGTCAATGGTGTGTCTGTGCTGTGTCTGTGTTCCTCCCTTCCTTCATCAGTCAAGTGTGGTCTACTTCGCTGATGACGACAAGTACACACACAGACGAAAAGAGAATCTGTCACACCCACCCGAATCTACATGTATATTGCGTTCGTGGCTTCGTTCGTTCAGTGCCTACCACCCTTGTCTGTTCTCTGGTCTTCATTCCGTCCCCTCCCTCGGTGTGGGCCTCCTGGGCGTCGGATGGGCGGGCGAACACGTGGTTGAAAGGTAGGTATGCCAGCAGATGGCAATACACACACACTTACATACATCCACACGTGCACACCGGATTGTGGTGTGTGTGTGGTGTCAGGTATCTGGTGGACGATGAGCGGTCTGTCAACGAGAGTGACGGCCACCGTGCTGCTGCAGATGCTCATGGCCAGCAGCAGCAGTGTGAGCAGCAGCAGTGGGCCCCCCACACGCCAACCATCCGGGAATTCGACGCCTGGGAGGTGAGTAAACCCACACACACACCTACACAGACACAGGCGAAGAGACGCACACACACGTGTGTGTATATTGGCTGTGTTGTGTGTGTCTGTGTGTAGGGTGGCCGTGACTTCCAGGTGGATGTGGCGGGTCTTGTGTTTGGTGTGGGGTGGTTCCTGACCGACCCCCCACTGCTGTGGTCGCCATTCTCACAAAAGCACTTCAACGAGAACGACATACTCAAGGCAAGGCACGCACATTGACTGACACGCTGAGTGAGACAGACAGACACCATAAATATATATGCTATGCTTGTGTGTCCGTGTGTGTGTCCCAGGCGACCCATCTAAGACTGAGTCAGCTGATCCCTCTCGGCCTCCCTCCCAGCCCCACAGGCACAGCGGACACACACACGGGATGTGACAATGGGTGCAGTCAGTGCCAGCAGCCACAAAAGGGCGGGCAGCCGCCGACAACAGACAGCTGTGTGGGCGAGACGCGCCACAAGGAGAAAAGGGTGAGTGCGTGGCGGAGAAGGGATCAGCAACAGAGATGATATCATGACGCGAGCGTCTCTCTCTCTCTCTGTCTGTCTGTGAGTGTGCAGGGGAGGCGGCGTGCAGTGCGATCGTCCGAGTCGTGCGGGCGCGACAAGACCTGTACCAAATCTCTGGGGCCAACAAAAGTGAGCATTGCAGAACCAATGGAGCATCTCCACTTATGTATGTGTGTGTGTGTGTGTGTGTGCAGCCTTATGTGTGGCATGTGTCGAGCATGGTTGCGCGGCAGAAGGGCCAATATGGGCGCAGAAGGGCTGCAATGGCCGGCACACGATACACCAGGCAACGGAGGCAGTGATACCAGACCATTAGAAATGAGAAATGACAGATGAGAGATCGCTGAACGCATTGCCGCGGGTTTTATCAGTCAGTCGATGTGCTGCTGTACGTTCGGCTTGTTGTTTATCCGGCCGGCGGTGTATGTGTATGTGTGTGTGGTCTGAATGAGACCACGGAATGAGTGCAATGCCCCACCCATCCATGTGGGAATTTGTATGTGAGTGGGGGAGTGACATGTGTGTGAATGTTGCGTACGAGGTAAATGTGCATAGCGGACTGCGTGAAGGGCTGAAATGGTCACTGATACAAGTGTCATGAGACCGTCATTCTGGCTGGGGATGATTACACGCATGCAATGGGCGATCGATCATGACCCATCGAATGAATGGCGTGCACAAATCACACGAACACACGCTGGGGCAAACTCAGAAAGGATCCCACATACACCATCTCCCTCAGAACAGCCGCCGTCACTGTCTGTCTGTTGGTTCGCTCATCTCATTCACTCAGTCACTGTCGTCGTCCGCACCCCCGTCCGTCCCCCCTTGGTTGGTCTCATCGACGTCATAGAGCTCCAGGTGTCATCCGCTTTCTTGCGATCTGTGCACACGCTACACGTGTGTTCCACTCGCTCTCCACTCGCTCTCGTACAACATAATGCACCAGCAGAAATGATTGATGCACACACCACCGCACCGCCAAACAGTCAGCTCCTTGTGTGTCTTCCTTGACGCCATTCAGCCGCCCTGCAGAACACACCAACAAACACACGCCACTGTGTGGCCCACACCTGTGTGTCTACGGTGCCTGGCCGTCGAGGACGATGGGGGCGATGGGGCCGAGGACGCGGCGGGCCTTGGCAGCCGTCAGGGGGAATCGCTGGGCGAAGGGCGCGTCATGGGCCACACCTGCTGCTGCCGCCTCGGTGGTACGGATGATGACGCGCACTGCACGCAGCCATGAGCACAAAATCAGACACCACGACGGCATGTGGGTGTTGTTGAGTTGCTCGTTCTCTACCACGTGTATGCGTACCGTTTTGGTTGTCTCCTGGAGGGATGCGGAAGGCAATGTATGCGACGAACGGATCGCTTGATGATGTCAGCACATGTGAATGCATACACAGCCCACCGACCGCCTCATATGCCATCACGTGTGAGCACTCGTCAAGGGGCGTGTGAGGGGATTGGGTGACGATGCGATCCAAATAACCTCCACGCTCACTCCTGACACACACACACACATACACACATGTTTGAAACAGACCACGAGCGACCTGCCGTCCATCCAGTCACCGGTCTACCGCCACTGGTGGTGATCGGGACATGCCGCCCACAGATATGCTCCGGTGAATCAGCAGCATCAGCTGCTTCAGCATGGAACTCGCTGATGAGAAAACGGCCCCGTCGTTGGCAGCGACCATCGCCCAGCCCACACCAGGCTGCCACGCAATGCGGCTGCGGACGGGCGGGTCGTGCGGCTTGGAGTGCTGCTGGAAGGGGTGAAGTGAGAAGGGATGGACGGGGCGGGTGGGGAGGGGGAGGGGCGGGTTGAGGGTGATGGCGAAGGTGGGCTCGTTGCGGATGGCGCGAATCTCATGGTTATGGTGGAAGAGCTGGAGTGTGCCGTCTTGCTGGCCATTGAGGCGACGGAGGGCCACATGGCGGCCGACGAGCATCCACTGCACACAGAAACGGGGCACCGATGAGTAGTCCTGCATTCAACACACAGACACAGACAGAGAGCCGTTCACTCATTGCCCCATTGCCTCTCCTTTGTGTCGTGTGTCGTGCTTACCGCCTTGGTGGCGTGTGTCTGCAGATCTCCGGCACCCACAGTGACCGGCAGCTGGCAATAGCCCCAATGCTCACCGAATCTGAGAGTGTCCGTCACCTCCCCCCAGCCGCCCTCGCCTCCCTCCTCCATCACCCACATGGCCTTCATCACATCGCCGTGGCTCAGCTGATCGTCGAACCGCACCACCCCGCCCACCCCCGCACACTCGATGGCCTTCGGCAGCCGAATATTGCGGATGATGGGCCGCAGGGCGTTTCTGAAGTGGCGGGCTGTCGCCTTGAGTCGGCCGACGGCGGTGAGGTCAGAGAGTGCCAGGACGATACTTATCGGCCCGGCGGGAATGTCAGTCACGTGCAACCGCCGAGCCTGACGACACACAGAATGACACACATGCAGCTGTGTGTGTGAGAGTGTGTGTGTGTGTGTGGTCCCTCTCTCACACCTGTGTGTGGGTGTGTGTTGTGAGTGCGATGGTCGAGTCGATGCTGTCCGCCAGCTGGGCCAGACGGGCCGATTCGTTGGCGAGTTGACGACTGACCTTGGCCACCATCTGATGAATCAAGCACACGAGAGACCATGACACAGAGGCCTTTGTGCCGTGTGTGGCAGTCTGGCCGCACCAGTGGTGTGATCATAGCGGCGTCCATCTGAGAGAGTCGGCCGATGCCATTGTTGACCTGCACACCACAGTCCACACACAAACAACGCGAAACAACCGATGAGCGACGGATGCACTGAATGAGAGTGAGTGTGTTGATTCCTTACCCTGGCCTGATTGGTCTGCTAGGCCTGAATCTGTGCCAGCAGCCGCTGCCGCATCGGCAAACAACACATTGTCAATCAAATATACATAGCCCCATGCATGCCGTCGTTCACGTTCTTTGCCTGGCTCCTCTTCTCTCACCTGAGCAGCGCTGGCAGCCATCGTGCAGCCAGGCCACCAAAGCTATGAATCAAAATGCCGTTTTGGGGCTTCAACAGGCTCTGCACGCCTCACCTCGTCACCGCCATGCCTGCTCGTCAGCGGTTACGTCATTTTCCGCTAAGCTCGCAGGTGCAAGCTCAGAAAACTCAGAAAAAACAAGGAAAGGTAGAGGAGCATGAGAAGTCCGTGAGAAGGGGCTAGGGAGGGGGGCTGGATCTGCAATCGGTTAGGCTCCCACATCTGAGAGATCCACCGAGCAGCCAAGGGCCTCTCGAGAGGAGATTATAGATCTGGTGGGATCTGCTTCCCTTGTCACCTACAGACCTGCTACAGACGCGGACACGTGTGTGTGCGTGTGTGTGCGTGTGTCAGGGAGCATTGCATCGCCTGCAGACGACAAAACGGGATGCCACGACAAGCTGCAAACACCGCGCAGGAGTACTCGTGCTGCGTGTGCTATGAGCCGCTGGAGCCCCCTGCATGCTCCAAACAGAAGGCAAAGTGCTTCCACGCCTCCCCTTCGCCCCACGGCACGTGCACCGAGTGCATGGCTCAGTACGTTGAGACGCGCATCGACAGCAACCAGGTGGAGCGCATCAAGTGCCCCGCGCCCGGCTGCTCGCGGGTGCTGACCGACGCCGACATTGGGCCGCTGCTCGACGAAAGCACTTTTGAGCGTCTGAAGAAGTTCAGGAAGCAATCGCGAATCGACAAGGTCCGCAGGGCAGATGCACACACGCATTCGCTGGTGTTGTGGTTGGATGGCCACCCTCTCACGAACAGATCGTGTGTGTGTGTGTGTGTGTGTGCGTGTGTGCGTGTGTGTGTGTGTGTGTCCGTTTAGAATCCCCACCTGCGGTGGTGCTCGGTGCCTGGCTGCGAGGGCCATCACCGCATCTCACCTGTCAGCAAGAAAGGCGCCTGCTCTCAGTGCAAGACGCCTCTCTGCCTCCGATGCGGCCAACTGTAAGGGAAGGGCTGACTGAACACCACGTGTGCGTGGGTGAATTGTGTGTGTCACTGATGGTGTCGATCGGTCAGGTGGCATGAGGGCCAGCTGACGTGCGACCAGCTGGAAGATCAGAGCTTCCAACAGTGGGCGAGGGGAAAGGACGTCAGAAGCTGCCCCCGGTGCGGCATACGCATAGAGAAGGTCGGTGGCTGCGAGTACATGGTTTGCAGCAAATGCAGAGAATTCTTTCTCTGGCCCACTCTGGCGCCAGCCTTCGGCGACGTGGGGATGTTTGTTCTTTTTTGTGTAGTACTGATGTGTTTGGTGCTCGGGGTCGCCCTGGCGGTGGGGTGTCTTGTCGTGTGGTTGTGCAAGTACTACAGCTTCTTGCGGATGGCTGAGAAACTTTATTTGACTAGTGTCAGTTTCGCTGCCCTGTGCTGCTGTGGTGTGCTGAACCTTCTGTTCCCCGGCTGTGCGTTGATGTGATTGATGTGCGCACACAGACGGAGGGATGGATGAGTGAATGTGTGTGGCCCGCAGTGGTGCCAGTGGATGGGGGGATGCATTCACATGATGGGGCTGTGACTCTCTCTCTCTCTCTCTGTGTGTGTGTGTGTGTGGAAGAGAGAGATAGAGACTGCATGTGTGTGTGTGTGTGTGCGTACGTGTGTGTGGCCACCGGTGACTCGGAATTGGTACCAAGACGTGATCTGTTTTCACGCTGTTCCTGGTCAGCCACCCGACATTATCCAAGCGCACGTAGCACGCAGATCATCGGCCCCTTCTTTCCTTTCGCGGTGAATGGCGGGTCTTCTCCCTGCCAGTGGTGTCAGTCTGGCTGATCGGAGGCGTAGCCCGTGTTGGGGCCGTGGCCCCAGCCTTCGATCAGCCGCTGCCCTGCTGCTGATATCAAGCCCTTTTTCACCACCCTCTCCCTCTCTTTGACCTCTAGATCGTCTCGTCACCCGTCGGCAAGGCTTTTGCAGCGCGGCAGTCCCCCGGCTGCACCTTGCCCGTGTTTCTGTCATCGTCTTCAAGATGCCCGCCATGCCCGAGGAGCTCGGCGAGGGGGCCACCGTCGGTGCCGAGTGCATTATGGGGCTGGTGACCATCATCATCACGAATTGCCCACACGCAAGGGTACAACTGCACGAGCCCCAATGCATCTGAGACACGACTGGCCGTCTGTGGGTTCTCGAATGCATGTGTGGCGCCTGATGCATTGGATGTGTTTATGCAGACGGCCAACGAATGGCTGTGGGGAAAGATATGGCGGAAGGTCAAATACAACTTCGACATGCGGTGAGATGAGGGGACCTTTTGATGCATTCACGCTGTTGCCCGGATTGACTTATCCATTTCTTCATCAATGGTGAATGCAGCAGGAGCATCACGCCGCGCTTCATCGCCGACTGCATCACCACCACTATCGTCACATACCTGGGAGTCGGCATGGTGCTCGATGCATTTAGTGGTGTCGGCGGCCAGACCGCCTCTCTGTTGGCTGCGGGCCTGACGGTCTATGCGTGCGACATCGACGCCGCCAATGTCGAACACACCAAGCATAACGCCAGTGCCCACGGTACGAACATTGACAAGAGCACAGCAACGGGTGGCGGATGTTATGACATATCCATATGCAAAATTGCTGCCAAATTGCTGCGTTGTGTGTGTGCAGGGGTGGGAGTCCTCGAGCGCCTCTTCATACGCTGCGGCGACTACTTCAAGAGGGTGGCCAAGCTGGCAGCCCGGTGGCTCAAGGAGGGCACGAAGTTCGCGGCCATCCATTTCGACATGCCCTGGGGGCAAGAGTACAACAGCAACACATACTGCCTCGACAAAATGGGCGATGGCACCATGGTACGCGACGGACGGACAATGTGTACCATATGTATGTCTCTCTCTCTCTCTCTCTCCGTGTGTGTGTTGGTTGCCGCTTACATGACTTGCAGTCGGCGTTCAATGTGCTCAACGTCGCAGCATCGCTGGCCGACAGCTTCATCGTCAAGTGCCCAAAGAATGTGCTCATCGCTGATGTGGTCAGCCGGGGAGACGCCGTATGTGTGTCGAATGATTTGTATCGTCCATGTGTGTGTGCGTGTGTGTGTGCAGATGAAGTTGGCTGACTACCTGCATGGCGTCAAGGGTCTGACGGGCGAGGCGCAGATGCCTCTCGTGGAGGTGTTTATGAGCGGCGACAAGACGCACATGGCCGTCATCTACATGGGAGACATCGCCGTCAAGTAACACACGCAGACAGACAGTGGCGAGACATAGTGCAGCGGCCGCATTGATGTGTGTGTATCTCAGGCGATTGGCAGACGTTCCCCCGGCTGCCCGCGTCCGCGACCTCACGGGCACGGCGCTGACCCTCGAGGAGTGCGCCAGCAGCATGAGGGCCCAGGCCAAGGGAGTCGGCTGCGCCAAGGTGCAGTTCCAGGCCCGCGCCTAAGCGCGAGACACGTGTAGAAACGTGCCCCACTTGCTAATGCGAGTGGCGGCAAGACAAACTGTCGGCGGTAGCTAGCGCGGCGGCAGCGGGACGGACAGACAGGTGCATGTGTGTGTGCACGTCTGTGTGTATATGCGATTGACTGGCATTTTCTGAAGGACAAAAGTTTATTGACATCTCTCTCTGCGTATCTCTGGGCCACAGCCAAAGGGAAAAGTGCAGGCGAACTCGTTCAACGCATACGTGTCTGGTTCGGTACCAAAGATGACATAGAAATCAATACACACACCCCAAACCCCACCACAACCACACACACAGAGGCATGGTCCACACATGGTGACCCAACCACACCGATTCACTCGCCGCCGCCACCAACGACGCCTGGCTATGACACCATTGCAGCGTGTTTACCTGTCGACCACACACAAGGTCATCTACTCAATCGCAGAGACACACACCATAGCAGAAGAGCGACAAGCTCACAGGTCCAGCCACCGCACACACACACACTCACGCAGGCACACACACACAGGGGCACCAGCAGTGTGCCGGCAGATTAGCTACACTCAGATGAATGACAGACAGACAGACAGACAGACAGACGGGGGCACAGAGGACGGCAGATGTATCAGTGCCTGTCTCTGTGGACGGCACCATAGAGAGGGGAAATCACATGTCCCTCCCTCCCTCCCTCGCTCCCTTCCTACTGCACCACATGCAGCACCTCTATCTCATTAGCCATGAATTAACTCGACCCGCCCAGAAAAGTAACACGAGTAGCCCATGGGTTCACATCATGCGATAGGACATGGAAAACAGGAATGACGAGAGCCACAGACAGAACGACAGCCACACACCCATCTGCCTCGCTGATGATGGCGGCACACGTGACAGCACCTCAATCTCGTCAGCCATGAATACGGTAGATCCGCCCAACACCGCATCGCCATTCTCATCCCACTCTCCTGTGTAGCCCTCAGGCACATTGCTGCGGTAGGTCACCTGAAGGCAGCTGCGGATATCGGCAGCAGGCGGACCACCGCCAGAGTTAGCCCAGCCCAGGCACAGCTGCCCACCGATAAGCACATTCGTACCCAACGTTTTCTCCTCCCTCCCCGCCACCCACATCCTCGGCGGCACCGTCGTGCTTTCCGGGAGAACGATCTTGGTCGGTTTGTCGAAGTGGCCGGACAGTGAGAAATACCATTTGTGACAGTCGTAGTAGTGCCAAGCGGTGGGGTCGTCGGGCAGCCGCAGGCTGTCACTGATGAAGGCGCCGAAGACATACTTGTCCTTCCTGATAACAAACACGAGAGGCTTTGCGTCGCCCACTCGGTCCAGCAGGTCGTCATAAGTGGTGCCGTGCACAGACGTCCTACACACACACATACAGACACACACACACACGGAATCTGCCCATCATCCCAGCACTGTTGGCATGATGTGTATCTACCGGTAGAGTGATGTGAGTCGTGTGGTGTCATTGCCCCCCAGCAGGCCAAGCAGCGCCTCATACTCCGACGCAGACAGCGATGTGCCGCCAGACAATCCCTGCAGGCCCCGCTCATAGACCTGACCACAAGAGTCAGCCATGGACCAGAGCGAAGCATCAAATGAGTGGATGGGTGAATGGGTCGAGCCACCGATGTGTGTACCTGTTGTGCGGGTGGTCTCGCTTCAGCAACACATGTCCACGCCGCCATCGTCATCAGCATGAGATCACTCCACACAGTCGGCATCGTGAGAGGACGAAAGAAAGAGAGCCTTAGCTGTTTGTTCTGTGGGCCAAAGGTGGGTGGTGGTAACACAGAGCCTTCTTGGATCAGGTCAGCAAGACGGAGCCAGCCAGATGAGATCCGAGCAAGGCCGAGGAAGAGACAGGCAGACAGACAAACAGGATTTAGCAGATCTCACCACTGCCTGAAGATCTCAAGCAGCAGCCCAGTGCTCCCTCGTCTCGTCGCTTTTACGCACGTCGGCGCCCTAAAGCCTGGTGCCAGACAAACTGCCCAAGAAAGGGCTTCCCGTCGATCCCCCAACGCTCAGCTGTGCAGCCATGGCCGAAGTGAGGCAGTCGGAGGCCATCGAACGGCCTGCCAGCGAGGAGGCCGTCGGGAGACTCAGTGAGGATGTCAGCGTGATTGCAGAGGGCAAGCAGCCCTCACCGCCGCCGCTCTTCAATCGAAACGTCAAAGTCAGCAGCCACAGACAGACACACGAACACACTTTTTTGTCTCTGTGTACGTCCATTCTTTGTGTGGTGGCTGGTGGTTGGGTGTGTACGTGGCACCCTACAGGTGCTCATCGCGCAGTGGGTGTTGATTCGAGTGATCAACAGCATCAGCCTCTACGGGATTTTCGACACGTACCTCTATGAAGTCAGCAAGAACTACACCCGGGACCACCAGCCCTCCAACACCATCGTCGGCGTGGCCGAGAGCATCACCGGCCTCACGAGCCTCGTCATGACCATCCCTGCCGTCTGCCTGCTCGACCGGTTCGAGCGGCCGCTCCTCATGCGCGTGGCCGCCATCGTCGGCACATGTGCGGTGGTGTGCTTCGTCATCGGCATTGGGTTCGACCAGCTTCACGCGCTCTATGTGGGGCTGTGTCTGTGGGGCATCGCGGGGCAAAGCAACTATGCCGTGGGGGAGGCTTTGTATGCCGACGCGGTGCTGCCCGGCCGGCGGTCAAAGATGAACACCATCAAGGCGTCACTGGGGCAGCTGGGCTTCTCACTCGGCCCGGCCATCGAGATCGTCATGTTTTACTTTCTCGGCAATGTGTGGGAGATCGGCCCTTTGCACTATGTGCTGCTCTCGGGGCTCATCATCTGGCCGCTCGTGATCGTGTTCGCCTTCATGACGACCAACCCCACCCCACACCATCCGCTAGAGCAGCAGCAGCGGCAGCAGCAGCCGACATCGCTCGCGAGCACATCGGCATCGGACCAGACCACGTCGATCGACAGCGGCAGTGACGACTCGCCCCACGAGAGTCTCGACCGCAGCTATAGCCAGCAGAACCACAACTCGGTCCTCTCATTCGACGTGGATGAGCGGCACGTCTGTTTCCTGCACCAGTACTCGGCCAGGCGGGTCAACGACGTACTGACCCACGCCAAACGGTTCTTCTGCCCCAATAGGGCAAGACAGCGGCGCATTCTGGCGGACGATACTGCTCTCAACGGCAACAGCGACGTAGAGAGGCGGCGGACGAGCATCAACAACGGCTTGTCGACGCCCCTGCTGGACCAAGATGACCATGTGGTGCATTTGGAGTGCGATGGTGAGGGTGACTTGCCCGTGTTGGGCGGCCGGACGGTTGCGGGCTGGGCGGTGCCGATATTGATCTCCATGTGCGACTTCACGCTGGCGATCGGGGCTGGGAGTAAGCCGACGCACACGACAGACACATGATTTGACAAGGGCAAGTACATCTCTCTCTCTCTTACGTGTGTTCGGTCGATCAGTGACGGTCAAGTTCTTTCCACTCTTCTTGTGGGCCTTCAACAGCACAGACAGACAGAAAGACAGGCATTGCTCATGTTGTCTCTCTCCCCGCCTGTGTGTGTATGTTATGTGTGTGCAGCAAGAACGACTACCAGCTGTCGCCATCAGGGGTGTGCACGGTGCTGGTGCTGCAGCAGCTGGCCATGGTGGTCTTCATGGGCCTGGCATCGCGCGTGACCAAGAGGGTGGGGCGGCCTGTGACGGCGTGGGTCATGGCCCTCATCGGGTGCCTCTGCCTCTACTCACTCGCGTACGTCACTCCGTTCGCACTCTTCCTCGCTCTCTTCCTCGTCAGGGGTGGCATACAGGTGAGGATCTCAGGGAGGGAGGGACGACGGAAGACGTGTTTTCCTGTCTGTGTGATCGAACAGAATGCTCGCTCCCCGATAGACCGGTCGATCACCATGGTGAGTGGGCGAGCGCAGCAGCTGCAGACGAACGACCTGCATGAATGTCTGTGTGCATGTCATGTGTGCGCTCTTTGTTCGCAGGACTACGTGCCCCGTCGGTTCCGTGCGCGTTGGGCGTCGATCCAGGGCGTGACGCGCTTCACCTGGAGCGGCAGTGCCGTCCTGGGCGGCGTCATCGCCGACACGTCACTCAACGGATACAGGCAGACCTTTCTCATCACCGCCCACGTCTACACGGCCGCCGTGCTCATGTACCTGCCCATCATACTCCTCGTACCCCAAAACGAGAAAATGGAACACATGACGGGCGACGACCAAGGCGGCAAGAGGGAGGGGGCGGGGGAGGGGGGGCAACCGACGAGTGCGACAGGAGTGGCGGCCCAAAGGAGCTGATACACTCACTGGCGCGGTCGTTCGTTGGCCCATGTTGTGGGCTGCTTGGTGTGTGTGGGGGTGGAAGGGTGTATTTTCTCGGTGCATGTGTTCATTGGGTGTGTGGGTGTACAGGTGAAGATGAGTTGGGTGAGTGAGCGGCTTTGGCAAGCAAGTTTTGACGCGTTCGTGAGGATGCGTGGGCGGTGGGTGAGTGTGGGTGTGTTGGGTGTGGGGGGGAGCGAGGGATGGTTTGGTGCCTGCAGACATGCAGAAGTTGACGTGGTACTATCAGGGTGTGCGTGATGGTGATACACACGGGGTACGGCAGAGAGAGAGAGAGTTTGTTTCTGGGTGCTATTTATGTATGTCTGAGTGTAATTGAGGGAGGCCCTGCTAATTACGTAGGCATACACAGCCGCAACGGCCCCACTGGCATCGCCACGGATGGACCGATCATCGATGGACTCGTTGTCGGGGATGTCTTTGCTGTGTATCAACATTTGTGGACTCACGGTCGGTCCCTCAAGCTCAAACCCTCTCACAGTTTGCATGCAATCCATCGCTTGCAGAGGCTGGGGGCCAATCTGGGGGCGGGGCAAGACGGCTGGGCGTCTCAGGGCTGCCTCCATCGAACGGCAAGGATGTTTCGGGCGGACTTTTTGGTTCGTTGGCAGCGCATCAAGGAGAAGTGGATCCACAGGCGGGGATTCTGGAAGTGAGCAAATGCACTGAGACAGACAAAACGCGAGACGCGGATGTGAGGCGGCGAGGGATCTCTCTCTCTCTCAGGTATTCGTTCTACTACTCGAGCAACGCCATTCTGCACCTCGTCTTTGCCATCGTCTCTTTCATCATCTGTGCGCCAAGCCCACTGTGACAAACACCAACTTCAACAGCCTGGCCGTCTTCCTGTTGTGTGTGTGGTTCAGATTACTCGACGACGCTCAACATTGTCAGCACCAACATCACGGCGACGGAGGTCAACAAGCTGCTGACCCACTGTACGGTCACATGCCCCTTCACCGACCACAGAATGTCGCTCAAGGGCGAAAGATACTGGTACGCAGAGACAGACAGCGTGTCTGGTCGCATGGTGGTTGGTCCATTGATTGATATCTATATATCAGCGGCGTCAGCAAGGCGTTTGGTCTGCTGCACTTGCTGTTTGCGTGTCCCGACTGCACCATCCGGAACGAGATGCGGTGGCGCTTCTGGCCTGACCGATACAAGACCTACCTACGCGAGCACATTGGCACCTACACCATGATCGTTCGGTTCCCGCTCTACCTGGGTGTTCTGCTGCTGGTCGAGGCGCTAGTCACCTTTCTGCTGTCCAGAAGCCTCGCGCATTTCGCTAAGTGTGCGCGGGCTTTTATGTGTTGTGTATGTTTGTTTGCACCTGTGGTGCACTAGTGGGGTGGATGGATGTGTGGGCGTGTGTTGTGTTGTGTTGTGTTGGTTGGCAGCTTGAAGCGGGCGTCGTTCGGGCAGCCGTCGTTCTGGACCCGGTGGCTGGGGTGGGGCTGCAAGCTGCTGCCTTTCTGGGTCAGGTGGCTGTTCACTCTACGGGTCAGTGTGTGTGTGAGTGGATGGAGTGGAGTGGGCAGCCATTGACAGACATACACACATATGACAGCCGGTGTGTCTCTTTGGTGTGTCAGTTTCTGTGCTCGGCGTGGTTTGCCTGGCAGCTGCTGGGCTTGCGGACATGCGTGAGCGCCACAAACACAGAAAGAGAGAGAGAGCGGAATCCAGGTGACTCTTGTCGTCTCTGCGCCACTTGCCGGTTTGTTGATTGCGTGCAGCATGAAGCCTTCTCCTACGAAGACGAAATGAAGTCACACGCCGGCATGAGACACGAGAGACACAGCGATGATGCATCGTGTGTGTTTGTTGGTGTGCCTTGTGTTGCCTTGCCCAGGGTGCTGGCGTGTCGTCGGTACATGGGTCAGTGTCTGAAGCAGAAAGACTTCTGGGACGTCAGCCTCCACTGCAGCCAACGACGAATAGCGGAACTATTCCCGGTAAATCACCAGTCGCAACTCTCTCTCTCTCCCTCTCTCTCTCTCTCTCTGTGTGTGCGTGCAGTCATATATATCTCTGTGTGTCCTCCATGACAGAACCGTTTGCTGCCGCTGGATACGTTCACTCCCGACTACTGCCTCAACAAATACGCCGAATATGCAAAGCTGCCGATATGGACACAAGTACGTGAGACACACACAGAGACACACACAGAGACACACAAGCCGGAACACCTTCCCCCTCCCTCCCTCGTCGCTGCGTCGGTCAGTACGTGAAGAAGCGCTGTGCCAAATCCAAATCATGTGCCGAAAAGATGGGCGTCTACGAGCAGCTCATGGCCACTAAAGGACCAAACGAGCAGCAACAACCGCCCTCATCAGAGGACCCACAGCTAGGCCATCAACTACAGGCAGGGCAGCTTCTCAACTCTGGGATCAGCCGGGCCGTTGCCATGGTGCCGCCCGAGAAGACGACGCCTTCATCGAAGAAGCGGCAGAAGAAGCAGCAGAAGCAACAACAGAGGAAGGACAAGAAGACCGAACTGGAGTTGATTGTGAACGCCGAGGACGAGTATGAGACCAAGATTGGGCGGTTCATGCTGGCGCACCCCGACATGGAACTGGACGACCGGATCACTTTTGACCAGCTGGTCTTACCTCAACGACCACCACCACCACCACCACCGCCGCCGCCGCCACCAGCGAATAAGAAAGACAGAGAAAAGAAGAACGGCGAGACACCCGCAGAGGACGCAACCAAGACAGAAATGATGGAGGCCAAGGAGCAAGGAGCACCTGCCAAGCGGGCAGAGGAGGCAGACCAAGACGAAGACACCGTCTTGGCGCTGGCTCCTCAAGCATCAGACGACGAGCAAGAGACCAATGAGCCACTGTCCAAACAGGAGACATCTGCTGAAGACGAACAGGCACCAGAGCAGCCATCTGATGATGACCAAAAGTCCACCCAAGAGAGAGAGAAGCAGAAGAACCTGCCCTCCACCCCAGCCACTCCGCCCCCTCCACCACCACCAGCTGCCAACACGTCAGCTGCGACAGTAGATGCCGCTTCTTCCCTTCTCCAGACATCAGCGGCGGTCGACCGTAGGAGGCTGGCCATCTTTGCGCGGAGGAGGGGCAGGGGCAGGGGGCGTCTGTCTCTGTCTGCCTTGTCGCTGTCACACACGCACATATCGGCCGGCCCAAAGACACAAGTCACACTCAAAGGTGAGCGGGGGAGCGAAAGTGCAAGTGGGTGACTCCTCCTCTTATGTGTGTGTGTGTGTGTGTAGGCAACGAGATCGGCTTGGAGCTGTTCATCGGCCAGGGTGACTTTCGGCAGGCGGTGGAGCGCTTTGACACCAACCAGCGGTCGGGCAGCCGCCTGTATCGGCTGCTCTGGTCCTACGCCTACTACTCCATCACCATATGGTTCCTTAACAGGTAGGTGCATACTGACTGGCACACACACATTCCACTCCACGCCCATACATAAGGAAGACAGAGAAAAAGGAAAATCGTCGGCTGATTGGAAGCAATTGTTGTCTCGGGGTGTGTGTGTGTGTGTGTGTGTGTATCTCATTGCTGTCTGTCTATGAAGGATTATCGGGGCGTTCCTGGCTTACATGGAGCTGCCTGACCCCTCATTCTACATCGTCGACAAGCAGCCGCGGCGTGCTGTGGGCCTCATCAGATACGTCAGGATGCTGTGGGCAAGATACGCCATCTGACCCATCGATGAGATGATGGATGGATGGATGGATGGAAGACGAGAGGATTCTCTCTCCGGTGTGTGGTGTGGCTTATTGACCCGTTGGTTGGCTGATGGATGGAATCACTCATTCGTCGATAACTTCGAATGCCTTTGTCCAGTCCACTGATGCTGTCTCCTCCTCCCCACCCCCACCAGCCTGCCTCTCCCCCTTGATGGCCTGCAGCTTCTTCTGCAGCCGGCTTGTCCAGCCCGTCGCCTCGTCGTAGCCCGCACCTGCACACACCCATACAGGGGAATGGTGAATGACATCCATTTGAGCGCCACAGGGTAGGTGAGTGCACACACGTAGTCACCGATTTGCAGCAGCCGGAGCTCGTCCAGCGGCTTGCCCACTATCTGAAGGCCTGCACACACACGCACAAATGAACAGTGGTTCCATCTGTGTGTGTGCTATGACGCCTGACGTGACGTACCTATGGGGAGGTCTTCGGCCGATATGCCGCAGGGCACAGACAGGGCGGGCAGGCCGGACAAACTCGCTGGCACCGTCAGCAGATCGTCCTGATAGACAAGACACACCGATAGAGGGATATACACACGGCCGTGAGTGAGGTCTATCGATTGTTGGGCGGCGGGGTGGTCTGGTTGGTTGGCTTACGATGTAGGTCTCCACTTTGTTCTCTTTGAACTGCCCAAGCCGATAGGCCGTCTGCAGTGAGCGCAGACACGACACTAATGTGACTGCTGTGCTGTCTTTGTCGTTCGTAGACATACGGTTGGTGCGGTGGGCAGGATGAGGGCGTCCACCAGCTCGAACACCCGCTCGAAATTGCTGGCCTGCACACACACATTTGCAAATGTATGTCGGTCATCACAGCACCTCTGTATGGGTGCGGCAGTGAGGGCTCGTCTGTGTGTGTAAAGAAACGGACCAGAGCGGCTCTCATCTTCTGTGCCTTCTTGTAGTAGGCGTCGCTGTAGCCAGCAGACAGGGCAAACGTGCCTGCACGCACACACGCACGAAAATCAGCAGATGCCCAGCACATGGGTGCATCTTGACGCAGCCAGCGGCACACACACACATACCGAGGAGAATTCTCTGTTTGACTTCCTGGCCGAACCCTGTCTCCCGCGAGTCGACCATGACGCGCTTGGCGCGGGGGTCCTCACTCGACGTGCGCAGGCCATACCTACACACACACGCACACACACATGCGACGCATTCATGTGGTTGTGTGCCTTCGTGCCTGATTCCGTCGTATTTGGCGAGGTTTGACGAGGCCTCTGACATGACAGTGATGTAGTAGGCAGCGCAGTACTCCTACACACACACGCACGCACACACACACACAGATTCACACACATACACACGGAACCAACACAGGAGGGGCTGCTGACTTTAAGGTTGGGTATGTCGACTTCGATCAGCTCTGCGCCGAGGGCCTTGAAGACCGACAGAGAGTCTGCACACACACACACACACACAGACACAGAGGCATGGTCGATTGTATGTGTGTGTCCATCCATCCAGACTCTCTCTTGCAGACGGTACGTACCCTTGAAGGCGGCCATGACGGCCGGCTGCATCCTCCCCTCCCCTGCACACCCATTGACACCCACACCCACACACACACACACGTGCATCTGTCTGTCGGCGCTCACCATCGTCGAGTGTTTCCTTGAGCAGCCCGATGCGCATCTTCGACAAAGGCCGGCCACTCAGCGACTCTACAGCACAGCCACACAATGACACAATGAATGAAGAGCAGACACAACACACGCCCTCCGTGCGAGTCTCGACAGTGCATGTGTGAAGGTGCTTCCGTACCTTTGTTGTTCAGGAATTGGTCGACGAGCTTTGCGTACTCGGGGACGGGCGCGTCTAAAGACGACACATCCAGCGGGTCGTGGCCTGCAGCCATCCATCCCGTCCAGCCATCCACTCATGACGTGTGTTTGTACGTGTGTGTGTGTGTGTGTCAGCACTGACCTGCCATTGCTTCCAGGAGTATGGCGCAGTCCTCCACAGAGGTGCACATCGGACCTAGACACACAAAGGGGAGAGATGTGTGTGTGCGCTCACTCGTCAGTGTGTCCGTGTCAGTCACCGACCGATGCAGTCGGTGCTGGAGCCATACGCCAGCAGGCCACGCCGGCTCACCTGCCACAGACACACAACACAACATGTACACACGCGTGTGTGCGTCGGCCTCCATCCCATCCATGTAGGTGTGTACGCTGCCCCAGCCACCCACTCCATCCCACCCGTCCGTATGTGGGCTTCAGGCCGACGACCCCACACCAACTCGCTGGCTGACTGATGTGACGTGACCAACACACACACACGGCACACACACACGGTACCTATGTGAGTGTGTGTGTACATGCGTGTTGTTAGGTTAGTGGGTACCGACCGTATGGAGCCTCCGGTGTCGCTCCCCAGTGCTGCAGGCACCTCGCCATTGCTCACCACTGCTGACGAACTGCACACCACACACACACACACAGAGGGAGAGAGAGGAATGTCTGGTAGGTATGCACAAGCACCCAAGTTGTGTGTGTCGACTGACCCGCCGGAGCTGCCGCCGGGTGTGCGGGAGAGGTCGAAGGGGTTCACCGTCTGCCTGCAAGCCACTCAATCCATCCAGGCGCGTCTGAATGTCTGTCTGCATCTCTGTGTGTTTGCGTGTTCGTGTGTTCGTGTGACATCCATCGTGCTATCTATTGTGTGTACTCGAAGAAGCTGGTCTCGGTGGTGCTGCCCATGGCGAACTCGTCGCAGTTGGTCTTGCCAATCACCACAGCACCAGCAGCCTGATTGATTGTAAGTGTGTGGATGATGTCTGTGTGTGTCGGCGTCTCTGCGCATGGACGTCGTCTACGGACCTTCAGTCGCTCAACACAGGGCGCGTCGAACGAGGGCACATAGCCTTCAAGCACACGGGAGCCTGCGCGCACCACACAACAGGTGGATGGCTCGTGGGCGTGTGTGCGCGTATGAGTGGACGGAGCGACGCACCTCCAGTGCAGGGCATGTCCCGCACAGAGATGGTGTCCTTGACAGCGATGGGCAGACCATACAACGGGGGCAGATCTACACACACAGTGTGTCCACCGTCTGTGTGTGAGTGTATGTGTGTTGACGTACGTACCGCCTTCGTTGGCCCTGCCTTTGTCCAGCTCCCTCGCCCGCGACAGAGCACTCTCTCCTGCACACACACACACAGATGGATGCCTCCACTCGTATGTGGATTAGTGAGGCCTCACGCACCGTCGACACTGCACCAGCCGTGCACATCAGACGCCTCAACCCGCCTCAATGTGTCACGCACCACCTGCACACACGCGCATCGTTTCTCTGTTGGTCACGTCTGTCTCTCTGTCTGTCCATAGGTACCTCTTCTACGGTGAGAGTGCCGTCCCTGATGCCCTTGGTGGTCTGAGCTATCGACGACGCACTCAGAGGCCGACCACTTCTCGTGTGCCTCCTCAGCAATGATGGTGCCAGTCGAAAGGCGCTTGCAGCCGACAGTAGCCTACATCGTTGATGTCAGAAGCACAGAGCTGATGTAAGTACCTGTGTGTGTGTGTGTGTGTTTGTGTGTGGGAGAGCTGCTCGCTCACGCGTACCGTACCACGCAAGAGCTGCAGAGATGAAGATCTGCAAGAGCAAACACACACACACACAGACACAGACAGACAGAAGGACACCGCAACGAAAACAATGAGTGCCTGGCCAGATCTGCATAGTACCCATGTGGTCCGTGTGCATCGTGGGCGTGTGCCTACAGGCAGACAGGCTGCAGGTGCCTTCAGTGACGTCCGCCTTCTCCGCTTCTTCATTGTCAGACCCAACCACTCACACAGATCAGATCACCTCGCTGCCTCCACACAGCGATGAACACTGTCTGTCAGACAGACAGACCATGAATGAATCGGCGGGAGATCGTCGCCCAGAGGGAGCGCATTTACAAGCTCGCAGGAGGCCCCCCCGTCTCAAAAAGAATGGCGCCGCTCTCCGCTCTCTTGCTGGCGCATTTGGCTCTCTTGTATGGGCATGCTTGCTGGGCGCAAGTGCTGAACCCTCTTGCAAGGCCAATCGCCGCATCAGTGGTGCGGGAGAAAGGCACACACGCTGCATGGCCACGATGACGTGTGGTGCTCGTCAGGCGTTCAACACGCCGACTGTGGTGACACTGTCGGGCCACGAGGACAGCGGCAACACGCTGGAGTACTACATCACCTCGCTCCCCGCCACAGGCACACTGTACGTGCGTCGGTCACTTACCAGCCGATGTCTGTCTGGTCTGCATGCGCGTGGGGATGGATGGTCAAATGCATGTGCGTTGGTGTGGGGCAGGCATGAGACGTCTCAGAACTACCGCACCTTCGGGACCGACCCCAAGGCGCAGACAAACAGCATCGCCGTCGTGCCACACAAGGCAAGCAGACAGGCAGGCAGGCAGGCAGGCAGGCAGACATCCGTTCGTGTGCGTGCGTCTGTTCACGGTCCACACACATGCGGGGTGCAGGTGACGGATTCTCTCTTCCGTGTGGTGTATATCCCGCCCTATTACACAAGTGGACCCGACGGTGGGTCCGACAGCAGACAGGCAGGCAGGCAGGCAGGAAGGCAAACAACCAGCCGCCCACAGCCATATGTATGTGCGTGAGAGTGTGTGTGTCCAACTACAGGTTTCTGGGCCTCGTTTGAGTACGAGGCGCGCGACACCGTCACGGCCGATATCAGCGATAGGACGTAATCAAATGAAAACAGATCAGGGGCCAGCCAGAGAGACAGACAATTGTCAGGAGATGCGTGTCTTTGTGGCCGCAGTAAGGTTGTGCTGACGAACCAGGACAACCATGTCGTCAAGTCCACCTTCCTGCTAGGCACACACGCATACACCCACAAGAGGAGCTTGTGGGCGGTGGGCAACGTCGTAGACGATGAGGGAAGAATGTATATGTGTGTGTGTGTGCAGACGATGAGGGATGGACGATAGGGGGCGACACCGTCACGGCGACTCCCACACACCAAATACTGGCCTGGGGTATACCGGCTGGGCTCAAGAAAAGACAAGACAAGACGGTTGTGTGCGTGTGCAGGTGGGCTGAATCGGTATATTCACGCGACCGACTCGCTGCAGCTGATCGACTTCAGCACGGGAACAGACACAAAACAGTGGTTGGTGTGGACTGGACGCTCCGACAAACACACACACATGCACACCGTGGTCTGTCTCCTCTCTGAGCTCACATACACACAAACATACACACATAGGTATTTCCTTGCGCCGGCCAAGTTCTATTCTGCCGAAGTCTGGTCGGCTTTCGGCGGCACTCTCGCCTTCACAGGTGCGCTGACAGACCCATACACAATGACCACGACGTGCTTCAATCACATGCATGTGTGTGTGCAGTGCGGTCGACGTACGGCCTCTTTTCGCGGCTGAACTCGCCCGTAGAGTGGATCGTACTCGAGTGCAGGTGCACATGCGCCCGGCTCGCACTGGCGATGACTGACATTTGTGTGTGTCCATGGACACACTTTGCAGCACGTGTGACAGCGGCCGTGGGCTGCGGCTGGTGAGATTCACTGACGCAAATCTCAGCTGGGACGGTACGGATGCATCTGTGTGTGTGTGTGTGTGTGATCGACACACACACACACACAGAGACAGAGACACACACAGATGTGGCACATAGGTAGCGAGAAGACGGTGTCTGTGGTTCTCGATAGCACGTCAGGCTGGCTGGTCGACCCCAAAAACCAGGTATGGTATCCACTCATTCACTCATCCACTTCGAGTGCCCCATCTGTCTATCTGCCTGTCTGTCTGTCTGTGTGTCTGTGTGCGGTTGCATACCCATGATGTCAGTCTGCTTCGTTCACCGCCGCGACGGACTGCGACATCGCTGCGGTCCTCAAAGGTGACACACACAAATATGGCGGAGACATGCACACGTTTCTCGTGCAGGCCTGACAGCTTTCAAGATCCTGGGGGACTTCACACAAGCCGGTCGGTGCGGTGGGGGTGCGGGGCGGTGCGTGTGATATGGATGTGTGCACTACTTAATTCGTTCAGGCGAGGGCGTGGCGATCGACAACATCTCCTTTCAAGCCAAAGCCACACAGCCCGGTGTGTTGGCGCACACACATGTGTGCCTCTCGCTCTCAGAGTGTGTCTCTCTGTGTGTGTGTGTGTGTGCCCGTGTGTGGTGCGTGCGCAGCTTTGGCGGTCAATTGTCAGAAGGGCTGCATATGCGCCCACTCGAGCACCCTCAGACGTTTCTCTTGCTGCCCTGGAAGCGCACCATAGTACAGCTACCTGTGTGTGTGTGTGTGTGTGTGTATGCGCGAGAGACGTGTGTGCGCGCGTCGCTTATATATTTGTTGTGTGAATCGCTTTGGTGGATGGTATGGTATTTATTTGTCTTCACGAATGTGTGGGTGTCGGTTTGTGTGTTCCATCCGTCCACACACATGCACACACACATGCACGTGCACATGCAGTCTGTCATGCACACCACACCAACACATGCACACGAGTCCGCCTGACTGACCTGCTGTTGAGGCGCGCAAAAATCTCATCGCCACGCGTGTGTGGTGTGTGTACGATGCGCGTTTGTATGCATATGTATGTATGTATGTAGGTGCGATCGGTCGGTCGACAGAGAGGTGAGTGCGTGAGTGGAATGGGCAGACAGGCAGGCAGGCAGGCAGGCAGACAGGCAGACAAACACCAGCACCCACCCCACCATCCGTCCGAAAATTACGAAAAGATTCATTCATTCAGGAACGATACGCCATGTGTGTGCATACGTATGCATGGCCCACCGAGTATGTACGTATGTATGCATTCATTTGTCTAAAAAAGGCATTTACCGTTACACACAGACAGAGACAGAGACAGAGACGGAGACGGAGACGGAGGGGTAAGTGGGTGAGTCAGTCAAGCTTCCAGCAAGGCCCCTCTCAGCTGAGAGGCATCCACGCAGCTGCGGTATGAACGGAACCCACCCTGCCCAACACACACACACAGGCAGACACCAAGGACAAAGATCCCGCAGTAGGCACGGAGGTAGCAGATCGAGATCGACAGCCAGGGAGACAGAAGAACAGACAGCACCAGAACAGAAAGGCGTTCCCACATTTCCCACCCGCCCACAGTACACACAGGCTCTCTCCCTCCCTCCATCCCCCCCCCTTCACCAAGTCGGCTGGCCCCTGGGGCGGCTCGGTTCCCGCACACACACAGGCCAACCGACC